CATTATAATCAGCATTTTAAGGCAGTTCTTGGAGCATTATGGTTAGCATTATACGAACATTTTCGGAGCATTATCCGCTGGACCCTAGCGCTGGGCAGAACAGTACGAATATAGTTATATAATTTAAATGGTGAACGGTACTATTCGGCCAATAAAATGTAAAGAACTCCTCCTCTCCTCTCCTCCATGCGCTCTCACAGCCGACTCACTACTACCCTCGGTAGCCATTACACACACCAACAGCCATACAAGGAAGGGTTGCAGGTAGATACTGAAATTCCTCCTGACAGCTGTTTCGCCTTTGTGTGCTCTGGATGGCAGTCGCGAGTCAGTCAAGTGTCAAGTACATTGTAGTTCGGCAGGAAGCGCGTGTCCCTCGTAGGAACAACCAACTAACTAACGTTACTTCATCACTAATACCGCTGAAGTCGCAACTATTACTGCCTGTAGTTCGTATTGTTGTCCCCCACGCGGACGTGCGACTAGTTGTTGGAGGTGACCATGGTGACAGCGTTGTGAATAGCTACTGCACTCAGCGTCTGTTTAGCACAACTCCATGGCATGAGCGACGCTAAGTAAGTTATACTCCCTCGAATCTCGTCTCAACTTGAGTTGAGGCTTTTTATTTTTGTTTTCCGCTGTATTCATAAGCTTACAAGTCCTCTTCTTTCCTCAATGTTCACCCTCCTGTCGGCTGCTACTTGCATCGAGAGGCGCACTAGAGGGCAATCATTCTCTTCACCTTCTTTGCCCGCTGCTACCACTAGATATGGCATGTTCTCTATTTCTTATTTTCTTTCCTTGGCGCTGATAGGTGGAATTCTCTGCCTGTCTCGTGTCGTCAAGTTGAGCATCTATCCGTTTTTTGTTCCGCTCTGTAAAGAGCACTTAGGGTTCCCTGTAACAAGACGGCAGCGTCTGTAGGGCCTTCCCTATCAAAATAATACATTCTACTACTACTACTACTACTCTGATCCGACTCACGCTGCTACCTGGGCTGGGCCTCACGAGGTGTTTGTCGCCCTGGAAATGGCGACGCGATTTCCCCGAAACACTGTGTATTGCGCAGGGAGTGGTGCGTTCTTGCTGGTTTGCCGGGGGGGGGGGGGGGGGAATTGCCAAATGGAAGGTGCGACGTGCTCCTCGTGTGCTCCGGATGTTAGTTGTTAGTAGCCCTTTCCCAAAGGTGCTCGCCCTTTTTGGCCCTTTTTGGAAAAGCCCGTTTCTTTCGCCCTTTATTGCGTTTTTGGTGAATATCGCCCTTTTTGAGCTTTTTTAGCTGAAAAGGTGCTAAAATCTGTTTGCTCGTGCATGCGATGACAGTTTCCGAGTGCTCGATGGGCCTTGGAAGTCGGCACGCCGCATTTTTGGGGGCAACAAGTTAGTTGGTGAAGCTTGTACACAATGCTGTAAAAGTGGGTTTTTGAACTTTACTTCCTGTTTTGCCTTTCGTGGACCCATAAATGGAAGAGTGCGTATTCATTTCTCAGCTTGGGCTCATATCTGGCCTGGACATGTATATCATGGCTATGCTTCACAGAAAAAAGAGCACTTTTTGCCTGTTTTCACCGAAAAAAGAGCACTTTTTCAGCATATTTTGAGGGACCCGAAAAGCACTAAATGCGAATTAAAAAAGCACCTTTGGGAAAGGGCTAGTTGTTAGCCAGTCAGGTGTCAAGTTCGGCAGGAAGCGTGTGTTCCACGTTAACGTCGGAACAAAAAAACTTCATATTAAAACTATTACTCAGATGGAGAGCCAAGGTTTAATTTATACAAAAGAGAAAGACCAAGGAACTACAAGTTACGCTATACTGTCCACTAACACCACCAGTTACTAAACAATCAGCTCATGCGATAACATTGCACGACACTGACCGACGGTACTGACGTTCTACAACTAACTGGCTAACAGCTCTAGCACATCTTGGATGCGCACTCCAACAGCCTTCCAACTTGGAAGGTTCTAAGTTATAGAAATAACATAAGGAGGGGAAGGTGAGCGCAACCAAGATAAGCACGAGCTGAAATTCTCAGTTGTGAAGGACGTTGGCGGATGTTCATGCATGTCGATGACGACACTGGCAAGATCATTGGACAATACGGTCAAACCACGATTCCAGAACGCAAAGCAACATTTCACACAACTTGTGTGGCTCAAGAGATGCGAAGATTAATAAAAGGGGAAGCTACGCGAACAAGAATAATGAAAAAACCGAACGCCTCGGTAAAACAGCACTATACTTCGACTATGACAATTTAGATGGACAATAAGCAGCGGTAACAAGCAGCAGTTTCACTCGACGATCGTTTCGCCGTATAGATCAAGACGGCTCATCAGGTGTGCAGGAATGGACTCCGATGGAGAGCCAAGGTTTAATTTATACAAAAGAGAAAGACCAAGGAATTACAAGTTACGCTATACTGTCCACTATACTGTCCACTGTTAGCCAGTTAGTTGTAGAACGTCAGTACCGTCGGTCAGTGTCGTGCAATTATGTTATCGCATGAGCTGATTGTTTAGTTACTGGTGGTGTTAGTGGACAGTATAGCGTAACTTGTAGTTCCTTGGTCTTTCTCTTTTGTATAAAATAAACTATTACATTATTTTTTACATATTTTATATTAAAGACTAATCTGCATTTGTCCTTCGGTTCAACTATTAGAACTAATTGCTTTTATGATGCTAGAAAACGTATTTCAAAGTACATCGTCACCAAAGCAAGTGGTCTCTTTGCTGCAAATTTCATATTCCCAACCAAATTCAGCATATATGGCATGAGGAATGATGATGTTTTTTAATTTTTTTGTTTCCCACCTTCCAACCCGGCAAATATTTAGATTTTGATTAAAAACCATTCAAAGCCTCTCAAATATTTTGTAATACTTGAAGTATAAATATGAGGAATGATGATGATGATAATGATGATGGCTACTGGCGGAAAATTTGGTTCAGAGTATTGAATTTGCAGCAAAGAGACCACTTGCTTTGGCGATGATGTACATGTCATGTACCGGTACATGTAGGGTTTCTGTGTTGTATTTCTATTTCATTTTTGTCCGTCCGTCCGTCCGTCTGTCTGTCTGTCTGTCTGTCTGTCTGTCTGTCTCTTTCATTCGGAAAGAACCCCAAGCCACTCCTGAAGCTGAAGAGCCTTGGTGACAACACCGGACTGCAAATACTGAATAGGGAATGCTGAGAAGGGGAATCAACTGCTGGTCGAAAGTCCCTCCCGAAAGCACTCTCGGAGAGGAGTAACCTCAAACAATACGGTGAAATCTATAACCTCTTGCACATAACGGAATGAGAACATGTGTAAGTGTGAAGAAACCGAAAATGATACGACAACAGACTGCCAAGGGACTTACTGAGCATGAGGTGAGTCTTCTTAGTGTGAATGAAAACAGCCTCTAGAGCATTCAATAAATCTATCACTACAGGGTACGTACAGTTGACAACATCGAAAAACAATCATTGCTCTTGCTTGGTTTCTTCACGCTTGTAAGTTGTACGTTCTGTCTTTCCTTTACTAGTAATATCATAGTAGTGTGTGTATGTGTGTATAAAGTTAAAAGCATCGTTTCACCGTGTTGTTTCTTGCTACTCTTCTTCGCGCTGTTGTTATCTTATCACGAGATAATGGTAGCGACTTCGACGATAATTTCATGGGTAGCTTCCCACACCGGAGCTCGCACTTTCCCACCACCTTGACTCGACACCTGATTGATTCGCGACTGTTATCTAGAGCACATGAAACGTTCATAGCACCTTCGACTCGGCAAATCTGCAGAAAATCAAGTCGGCGGGAAAGCGCAAGCCAGCTCTGGTCTGGGGAGCAACCAACTAACACTTTCCTATAAAATTATCGCCAAAGTCGCTACCAGTGTACCACTAGCTCGTACTGTTGTTGACTTTGATGAGTGAGTGTTGTGCCCAGCGCGGGTTTGCGACTAGCTGGCTTGGAGCTGACAGCGGTGCGAATGACCAAGGGCAAGGGTCCCCAACGCCTGGTCTACCTAACTACTAACAATGACCGACACTGACTCCTGCATGCTGCTAACGGGTGTTCACGAAGTGTTTGTCGCGCTGGAAACGGAGCGTCTCTGTGAGTTCGTGTCCCTGGTGATGGTTTGGCATGGAGAGCACTAAGTGATGCTATCTTCCTTACTACCGTAGCCTACTCAAGCTCAACTGATGAGGAGTGAATTCCCCGAACAACCGAGTATTGAGCAGGCGGTGGTGCTTTCCTGCAGGTTTGCGGAGTGGAATGTTCCGTCGACTTCTTTGCTCTGGGTGGCAGTCGCGAGTCAGTCGACTCAAGTGTCAAGTCAAGTCCGTGGAAAAGTGCGAGTTCCAGTGGCAGTGTGGGGAGCAATCAATTTTCCTGTTATTTCATCACTACTGTTTAAAATACTAATTCATTATTATTATTATTATTATTATTACGCACACACACATGGCCAAGGCCAATCAAGGAGGAGGTGAGGGCGATTATAGCCAGCCATGGCAAAAAAAGAAGAAAAGAAAGAAAAAAAAGAAGAAGATTGTGCTTGGTCAAGTTCAGTTTGCCTGTGTTCCACGTGATCAGGAGGTGATCAGGAGGCAAGGAAAGTACTACTTTTGTAGCGGAAGAGCTTTGAAGATGTTGATTGTGAGGAGCCCAGAGCTTGGTAAGTAATTCCTGAGTTCAACTCATAGCATCTGGTCTCCGTGAAACTAAAATGCATTGCTCTTAGACATTATTGAAACCAAGGGACAACACATGCTGCTGAGGCTCAGCAAAGAGGGCACGAAAACCAGGCTTGCGGGATGTGAGCTTCCAGCGTAGCAAGAGCGTTGGAGAACTCGCCCATGACTGCATGTCTACATAGGGGTTTATGCTCGGAAGGCTGCCGATTGTGACATCAACTCGCTCAAAGACCTCACAAGATTTGGACTTTCCGGAAACTATCAATTACGCCCTGGACAGTCACACTGGCAAACCACTGAGGGAAAGAGAAACTCAGTTGACCGGTATTTAATACTTGAAAAAAAGAGCACCGCGCCGTAACAGTATCCTACCTAAGTCTTCGTAATAATTATTGCACCATAAAAGGCAACTAAATTCGTAACTTGAAAGGCAGTAGATGTTTATGCTGTATACAAATACTCAATGTGCCAAGTGTATTCTGTCATTGAAACTTTACTTTCTGAAAACAGTGGGACCAAATAGAGCAGTTGAAACACAGAACACTCCAAAAAATGGTCCGGAACACTGAGGAACATCGAGGAGCATTGCCTATGCATTTAGGACGATTCGTGTTAACCAAACCACTCTACTCCTGCTACATCAGATACATAGTGCAAGCATAGGCTGCTATCCTTATAATACATATAGACCAGGAACAGTGTTATCTCAAGAGGATCTGTGGAGTTTGATCAGCAATGGTAAGGCCAAGACCGAGTGAAATTGAGAATTGGGAATACTGTGCTGGGGGACACTGAATGACATGTACCGATAACACAGAGCCCTACACACATACCGAGAGGCGTGTGTGTACGGCGCATATGTGTACATTGTAGGGCTCCCTGAGCTACCCTAGCAGCAGCAGCAGCCACCGCCCTTGTTGCTTGTTCGCGCCATATAACATGCCGTGAGCATCTCGATCAACGACACAAGGGCGATGACGGCACCGACGATGTAGATGACAGTGAAAACTTCGGAAGAGATGTCGCCCACCACACTGGAACAGCCGCGCGTGTACATCTGTGCTACGTTTCTGTTGCACAGGGCGTCTTCGGGTCGAAAGCAGCAAGACGTTGGTGCAAGGTCCATGGGGTTGGCAGTGGCCCAGCTCGTGCCCAGCGTCTTCCAGGACTCGAATCCAGTGCTACCACAGCACTTCTGACTCTGCTGTGTCGTGTCGACATATGCACGCACTGCGCTGTCCGCCACGTCTCCGATCACCGCACCACCAACGTTCCCATAGGCATGCATATTGACCTCGAAGGCCGTCTCGACGCCGTTATGCAGCTTGTTCCTGAAGACCGCCAGTAGTATAACGGCGGCAGTGAACATCAGCGTGATGAGAAGAGCGAAGAAGGCCAGGACATCTTGGCAGCACTGATTATGGTGTCGCCTGCCCATGGCGCAGCAGCCAACGAAGCCAGCGATAAGCATGGCCCCGAAGGCCGCAGTCACAATACCCATAGCAATAACCACATGATTAAAGGTCTCCTGACTGTTGGACAACTCGAAGAGCTGCTTGATCTCAGTTGTGGTTTGCCAGATGTAGATAAAAACGCCAGATGCTATGCCACCAGCAAGGCCCACCAGCACATAGGCGATGCTGAGAATGATGAAGAAGGCACGCAGGCACGACAAAGCGCAGGCCATTTTGTCACGCCAACAACACGAAACACCCTCGAAATACTAGTACTAGTACTACGGCACTAAGTTGTTAGGACTAGTCTGATGAGTGCGCGCGGCACTGGGAGAAGCCACAAGTACAATGTTCAAACGAATCTGAAGTTTAGGGACTCTATACTGATTCGATGAAGGTCTCAACTAAACTTTTAATACACCACACCTGTACATGTGAAACTATACATGTAGCTATGATTCTACTATAGAGCTATGATTCTACACTGCAAAGACATCTACCAGAAACAGAAGGTAGCCGGGATGAAGTCCTGCGTATAGCTATGGTGTTGCAGTCTGCTGGCGATTTCCCAAGGCAGACGTCTCCAAATGGCCACCTCAAGAACTAGCTCCCTGCATCTATTCGCGAGCTCACACCGACGTTGCATATGGAGTAAGTACCAGAAGAGAAAGAAGCATACCTTTGACACCGGCGAAATAGGCCCTAGTAGAGTGTACACTACGAGTAGCTTGCTACACGCTACCCGCGCAATAAGAATGTGAACAGCCCATCAAGAAGGCTTCAGCTGACACTCAAACTCGTACTCATACTCATAGTCATAATAAGTCAGGGTATGTCGTTGCATGGCTGATTCCATTTTGGGTTGGGTTCATCTGCGCTATCCGTAGACCGTCGTAGATCAACGACGTTCCTGGGTAACCAACGGGTTACTCCATGTATGATGTAGTACTACCGCCACCCGCCACTAAACGGTGGTGATTTGATAATATTGGTGCTGGCCTCAATGACCTTGGACCGAACGAGCTCGAGCTGGTTTAGAACGTTACGTACTTGGATACTAAGCTGTATTGTGACATTGCCGAAGGAAGTGGAGCGTGAAGAAAGCCGGGGAAAGCCTCGCGTGGAAGCTGCTGTTCAATGCCATGTCGTCCCCACCACAGATACCCAATGCCAATGGGCGCGCACAAGTGGATCTACGGTGTACAATACATACAATCATGCACATAGGAAGATATCGAGACAAGTGTAAGACCCTCAGGTAGATATGTACATGTACATGTACGTGTGTACGTGTGTACAATACATGCTCAATGATCGCAGTGTACTGTACAATAATGTCGTTATCGCCACTGAGTCACTGACAGGCATGCCATCCTCCTCGTAACCTCCAGCAAAAGACAGCACATAATTATGACACTGAGATGAGTCATATAAACTCGATACCTTATATTAAATTATGATACATGCATGAGTGAGATATGACAATAACAGGGTGAAGCTGTCCCACCATCCCCCTCCTCATACATGTACGCGTGTGGCTGGGAATGCCCGCGTAACAACACAACACTTTACGCCGAAATTACGGCCAATCATGTCACTAATGACTAGTGGGGCCGAACCATTTCGGTGTCAGTTAATCCGAGCCTCAGGTCAGGAGGTGCTCATTGGATCTAAACTAATACTGTCCGGTCCCGGGCGCACGCTCTTTGTTACATTGTTTGTACATGTACCTGTTACATGTAGCTGCAAAGTAACTAATGATTTCTTCATGTACAATCAGGGGGGGGGGGGGGGGGGACAATAGGGTGACAATCTGGTACTAGTAAGTAGTTTGCATAATGCGTCCAACAGGGACGAACTTACAAGACTGTATCTATGCACATAGATTTATTTTATTTTTATTTATTTCTGCACCTCATGGCATGTCAAGACAGCCAATTGAATTGAGGAGAGGGTGAGACCAACCACGGAAGAAGAGAAAAAAAGAAAATGAAGAGCACGTACACAAAATGAAGAGCACGTACACAAAGTGGGAAGGGATTAGCAACTTACAAAGCAATGGGATGCTCAGCGAGCTATGCAGCGGAAGTGGTGACTGTGACTTTGTTTACAGGGAGATACTGAAGTGCTGTCTGACGACTGACGAGGGTACGGAATTTGGGCATATCTGGAGCTTGTCTAACACTGGGAGGCAGTTGGAGCCACGTGGAGTAGGAGGAAAAGAAAGGGGAATTTACGAATAGGGTAGACCTACATGTAGCTAGGGGGAGACGAACGCAGCTTCGGGTGGTGCCACCTGACTGAAACCAATTAAGGGACTGTAAATGAGCAGGGTGCTGGTCAAGAAAAATTAAATGTGCCAGGGTGCACTTGGAAGCATCAAGGTAATGTTGCAGAGTGGTAGTGGATGCAGCAGCATACAAGTCTAGATTTGAGATATCACGATCTGTACGAAATATGATGCGCAGTATACGGCGATGGAGAACTTCTAATTTACCTATGTGGGTTTTGTTAATGGTGGACCAGGCAGGGAAGCCGTACGTGAAGAGGGGAAGAATGTATGATTTATAAAAATTAATCCGGCAATTTTGGGGCAAATGGGACAAGTGACTTGACATTACGCCGACAGATCGGCATACTTTGGACGACACATGATCAGCATGGTGAGACCAGGAGAGGGCGGAATCTATGACAATGCCAAGGTGTTTATGGTGGGGCGCTACGGAGATAGGGTGACCGGGATCATCGGGAAAGTGGAAGATGGGCACTGGATCTGTGGGAGGGGGAAAAAGGAGGAGCTCGGTTTTGGTCACATTTGGCTTAAGGTACCAAGTGCTCATCCAGTGAACAATGTCGTTGATACAGGTCTGAACTTTGGGGTACAGGGTGGCATGAGATGGGGAGGACGCAAGGACAGTGGTATCATCTGCAAACAAAGAAGTATTGGGAATTGAATAGGGGAGGTCATTAACGTATGTGAGGAAGAGCAGGGGACCTAAAATGGAGCCCTGGGGCACTCCGGATGTCACAGACTCGGGGTCAGATAAGGTTCCATTTACTGTGACGCACTGATTTCGGTCCAAGAGGTAGCTAGTTATCCAGGCGAGTAGGGAGCCGGAGACACCATGGGCACGAAGTTTGGCGATCAGGCCCTTGTGCCACACGGTGTCGAAGGCCTTGGAGAGGTCGAAGAAACAGATGCAGGAGACCTGCCGCTGGTCTCTTAGGGAGCAGAGGTCTTGGATTATTCGGGACAATTGCAGGGATGTGTTGTCCTTACGACGGAAGCCAGATTGTGCGGGGTGAAGAAGAGGGGAGATTATGGTCGTACAAGCGGTCGTACACTATTCTCTCTAGCAGTTTGGAGACGCAGGACAGGAGGGAGATTGGTCGGTAATTAGACGGGTTGTTCTTGTCGCCTTTATTTTTGTACACTGGAATGACAGTGGCTGACTTCCATCGTGACGGGAATGTGCCGGAGGAGAGGGAAAGGTTAAAAAGAATGGAGAATGGGCGGGCAATTGAGTAGCTCAGTTTCCTGAGGATCTCATTGGTGATCCTATCAGCTCCGGGGATTTGTTCAGAGGCAGTCTTGCAATATACTTGTGAACAGTCGATGAGGTGATGATCAGGGAGTGCAATGTAGTTGCTGGCGGAGGTAGGGAGGAAATAGTGGGAATAGGAGCATCGGGGTCAACCTGTAAGCCAGCACTGACGAAGTGGCGGTTCAATAAGTTACCAATGGATGCGGGAGAGGTGCTTGTTCGACCATTGGGGCCCACCATCTTCGAAGGTATGACCCGGGCGCTGGTAGGATTTCGCAGTTGACGAATGAGCACAGGGAGGGATGGGAGGCGAGGGTTTGTGGGAGATATCGTGGCACGGAGGTTGCGGATGTAGCAGCGATGGCAGGATCTGGAAAGGCATTTTACATAGTTACGTTGGTGTTTGTATTTCTTGAAATTTGTAGGGGATGGGTATTTCCGGTAGGTGCTGTAGAGATCGCTCTTGACTTTAATAGCTGCTTTCAGTGATGGAGTCATCCAGGGGCAGGGTTTGTGGCGTGATTTCCGACGAGGAGGTGAGGATCTTCCTATATATAGGTCCAAGGCACCTTCAAGGATGTCAGTGAATGCGGAGACAGCCGTGTCGATGCAGTGGGAGGCAAGGACCTGAGACCAGGGTACATCTGCGAGAAAAACATTCATGGCATTCCACATGTTATCCGTGGCACTCAGGACATTGTATTTTTGTGTAGATGGTGGGCTACGGCAGGTGCTGGCTGCTGTGGGGGAAGACTTTGAGGAGGAGAACTCAGCCAGCAGGACGGCATGGTCTGATGCGCCAAGAGGAGCCAGGTGTTGAATGTGGTTGAGTTGGTTAGGGATGTTGCTCGCGATAAGGTCTAGACAGCTGCCAAGTCCATTCGAGCGGAGGTGGGTGGGAAAGGTTACCGATTGGGTCAAATTATAGCATGAGAAGAGGTTGTCAAGACTCAGACCCTGTGCATCCGTTTGGTCAGTTGAGCACCAGCCGGAATACCTACAGTTGAAGTCGCCTGATATCACAATGGCTTCGGGCTTCCTTTGAGTTGATTGCAGATTTACGTCGCAATCGAGCCATGTCGTCACAGTCTACAGGGTCTACCCTCGTTAGCAAAATTCAGATTCGACTCTATGATCGGGGCACGGCAGACAACCCAGGTGGAGGGGGGGGGGGGGGTCAACAGTTTTGTCCTACTGAACTCTGAAGTAGAAATGAGTATTGTCTACTATCAGGACTTGCACTTTTTGGACCCCTATACAACCCATGTACAAGACAACATGAAACATCGATCGAGCTAAGCTAACGCTAGCTAGGAAGAAGTAAATCCAGAAAGATCATTAACACATTTATGTCAAGTTAGTTGGTGGCAGGGCACATTGAGCCATCCGACTAAATTCGTAGTCCATGGCCATTTGTTTGGTCTTGTCATGGGGGAATGAAGCCTGTGGGACAGTTGAAGGTGACTTTGCACCGCATGTCTGCTATCCGGACATGTATGTACGGCTACTATACAATGTCATATCTCATCAGGGGAATTTGGATCGTTGTAATACTATACTGATGAGGGTTTTCTTATTGAACCCATGTCTACGAACGAGCGTAGACATCATTATCCTCAGCGACACAGTCCAAAAGCAGGGTATTTACTCCGTGGTACAAAGGGTCTGGCTGATACCAGTTTCATGAGTACAAGCCGATGTTTTCATGCCAGCAGTGGGAACATTCTCGAAGCACACCCGGATCTTTCCACCAGTACATGAATGCATAGGCGGTTCATGTGCTCTGAACCCTAGCAATGACAGTTGTGAGTCAATCGACTCGATGTTTATTACAATACGTTTTACACAGGAACGGATTGGACCAGAATCATACATTTTCAGGCGGGCACAGTGGGTTGGTCTGAAGACCATGATTGAGAAATGAGAGGTACCAGGATCAAGTCCTGCTGGAATTGGGTAGGGTTTATCAATCGTGCTGTGACCCACGTAGTGGGAATGTTGGGAATCTATGGCCAGGCACAAGAGTAACATGGATGTGGTAAAATGGGATTTCGGCCTTTGGCCTTTAGTTTGTTTTAAATTAAACTCAGATTCATGCGATCAGATTTCAATGAGCAGTACTGTGTACATGTACACATCCTGGGAGCATCCGTGACGCACTACCACAAGTAGTATAAAAGCAATGCAATGTAGAACAGAGTAAAGTGTCAAGTCAAGTCGGCGGAATAGTGCGAGCTCCAGTGCGGGAGCAAACCCATTCCTAGAACACATTAATGTACACATTAGCTCGGAATACTGGGAACTAATACTTGACTCTCCCTACAATATTGCATGATTCTTGCAGTTGGAGAAACTGCTATGAAGTTTCGAACACAGTCTTGAAACACGATACATGATGAATTGCTGCTATTATTATGTGAACTCTCATTACTGCGGTATTACCTTCCACATAGTCATTAGTCTAGCATGGCGTCATATACATTTGTCTCAATTCAGTGTTTTCCGAAGAATATATAAAAAAAAAAAAATACTTGGGTAACTCTGCCAGTGAATATCCTCGTCAGAAGTTTGAAATTTCTTTCAGAATCATAAAATCGGATGTCATAAGACAGTCATAACGGAATTGTTCATGAACACACACACACACACACACACACACACACACACACACACACACACACACACACACACACACACACACACACACACACACACACACACACACACACATACACACACGCGTGAAACTGGGTGGGATCTGTCCCCTAAGGTCACTCACTTCAGTCCACTAGTACACAGTGCGTCGGTGGAGCCTTGTGGTGATGTTCTCGCAAACGTAGCTTTCTCATCACACTGAGATGAATCTTGAGATATGGTGTCCTTCTTGACGTCAATACCGCTCAAGTACATGCAGTGGTTGCTTGTATCCGTCACTGAATTTGTAATGGCTAAGTTTGGTACTTCCTCCGTCTGCGCCGGAAGTGAAATACGGGATATTTGCTTCTCATTGGGCTTACGTAGGTGTGGCTGTCGGATCATTAACACCAGCCGTGGCAGATACAGGCAAGTCCATACGGCCCAGAGCAGAGCCTCAAGAAACAGAGCGGCAATAAACGACCGCAGCTGCTTGCCCGTGATGAAGTATGCCGGTGCCAGACCAAGCCAAACCACTGATGCCGTCAGTGAGGCGATGTAGAGTAGATGTGACTGGTTGTAGTTATCCGGCAGATTGCGTGTGAGAAACGCCAGTGTGATACAGGCCAAGAGCAGGGTGAAGAGGTAGGCACTGAGTACACCGGACCACACATTATTCACTGCGCAGATCTGAACAATCCTATCCAGCTCATAGTGTGTCTCAACATACTCCGGTATTGAGGTCACATAGATGCAGACCAGAAGGATATCTAGCAGCACCAGGAACCCGATGAACACAATCTGCGTGGGTGTACCGACCAGCAGCTTGGTGAGCAGCTTGCCCTTGCTCAGCACCGTCATGGATTTGAAGATGGTGTTTATGCGGTTGGTCTTGACAAGGACACTGGCTGTGACCAGTATCTTGATGGGCTCGGGAAGGACGATGTGTGCAATGCACGCCGCGTTGGTTATGGGTCCGGCTGTTATGACAAAGAATGCCGAGACGTGCCCAGCCAGCATGGCGGACAAGGCAATGTTTGACAGGGTCAAGTCGCAGGCACGTACCAACACGGCTCGGGGATACCAGTTGAAATAGATCAATGTCAGCACAGTGCAAACAAATCCTACGGCTGCAAAAACGGCAATAACGATATACTGGACACTGCTGTAGGATAAGGGCTTAACTTCCAAGCCCACGCAGTGTGTGCTGTTGGAACGGAACCCAAGACCGCATGGTTTGCACACTGCGGCATTTGACATGTTGCTGAATGTCCCTGCATTGCAGTCTTCGCAGGTCCAGCAACATTGCACGTTGCGTAGAGCCTCGTCAAACATGCGTCGCTGGCCCGGTTGACATGCATCACTGCACACCGATTTTGGGAGAGGAGGTTCACTGCCCGCACCGGACTGCCTTGCAAACATGCTGAATACTCCATGCTCCTTCAGGTCGACCTGCTGATCGGCATGCCATTGAACGCCACTGCTTGCATCCCACGTGCCCACACTCTGCACATCGGGTCTACCTCCTTGTGCGGTTTGGACGTTCTGCACGTAGTACGCTGGCATTGGGCTCTGAGAGCCTCCGAACACTTTACACCGTGCAGTGAAGCCTTGGCAGGGCAGCTCCAACTGTTGCATCGTTTGCCGTATCATATCGATGCTGGGATAAGACACATCGGCAGAGTTGGATGACATGTTCACCGCCAGCTGTTCAGCAAGGGTATCAACCACTGAGGCCAAGGATATCAGACCGAGGAAAACCGACTCAGCTATAACCATAGAGCTGGGCAGGTGAAGCCTGGCTATGTCCGCTGGTGAACAAGGTGCGCGGTGTGCATGTTTAGCCTGGAGAACAGGGCAAGTTTGCGTCACACTGTCTGATTGTGGACTCTGGACAACAATAGCACATTCCAGTTGATCTTCAATATAGATCTTGAGCCATGGGTTCCTATTACTGGCTGCTAAGAGGTAGTTGGGATCCTGGAATGACCTCCTCAGTTGCGCAACGGCTGTGTGCACTGCACTTGAAGCGACGGTGCGTGGTGCTAGGCCCAATATAGGGATGCTGGCCATGTAAGAGTTGGTAGGGAATGAAAGGCGATTCACCCAGTCATCACTGCCAATGAATATTTTTCCAGTAACATTCAACTCTTGGCACAGCTCCAAGAAGCGGCGCGCTTGCTGCTTGGATGCGAAGAGGATGACCACTCGAGCGCGCTGCTCCTGCTTCAGTAATCGGATATCGTCACGCAGCTGATCTTCACCAAACGTTGTCTCCACGCTAAATCGTTGTGCCATGGCCAGACAGAATGTTCCACGACGTCTGGACTCCGAGTGGATGAGCTCAAACCCATTGCCACTGTACACATCATCATTGCCGGCGAAGAGGCTGACATAGCGCCAACCAAACTCCTCCACAAGATCAGCAATGGCCGTGGCCTGGTGTTCATTGGATGGAACACTACGGAATAGATACGGAAAGTTGTCCACCTGGTCAAAAAGAGTTCCACTGGCCCAGTGAGAAACATGCATGATTTCGTAAGCTGTGAGCAGTGACGTCACAGCATTGGTATCCGAGCTTGTCAGTGGCCCGATCATGGAAAACAGCGGTAAAGTACCGAACAGGACTTCTGCAGCACTAGTCACACACTCAGTCGCTACAGACTCTTGACCAAGTGCCAGAAAGGTCTGGAGAGTACGGTTACGGAACAGCAAGCCCTCCACCGCCACTGCCTGTGCCACGTTGACGGCCAACAAGTTTGAGTTGCATGTGTCGCTGGCAAGCGAGCCCAAGGTAATGCTGGGCAGGCTGCCCATAGCACTGGCTGAAGATGACTGCTGCTGTTGCTGCTGCTGCTGCTGCTGTTGACTGGACTCTAGTAGTGCCAGCATGAAAAAGTAAGCCTCGCTCTGCTGCACCGCATCCCAACCAGAGAATCCGTCGCAGGTGTCCGTGGACAAGGAATACGTGTCGTGCATGTTGAACATAGCCCCGAGTCGCACCCCTCTGTCTGTTGGCGTGACGACATTCTTCACGATGCAGTGCCGGCGAATGTCCACAATTGCATTCACTCCGTAAATGGCTGTCTCCAGGAAGTTGTTCAGGTCAACTGAGGAGGAAGGCTGCTGCTGAGCCACAGGAAGTAACATGTCAAAATCTGTCAGGAGGAGGAGAAAAAGTAGAATCCTCGCTGGCTTATTGAAGCCTTCCATCCTTACATCAAATAATTCAAACGGTTCGGACTTAGTCAATCAGTGTTCGCCTGATCGTAGATTTGAGCAACTAACCGATGACCGTCACAATCAGCGGCTTGCTTGTTCTTTCTAGCTTCAAACGGCTAAGTGCTTGTGCACGCTCCGCCAACGTTACTGCTATAGCTTACTCTGCTCCTCGCATTTTATCTGAGACGCTGACATGGAAGAAATGTCTACATATACTACAATGTCTACCTTTCCGCCAATTACGGAGCTCATGAGCAATAGCTAAAAGTAAAACCCCGTTATTCTACCCACTGTTTGAGCTCATGACATGAATGATTGAAAGCAACCATAACTGGCCTAGGCTGTCATCGCACTAGTTGAAAGGTATACATGGGAGTTGCGCTCAAAGGTGCTTGAAAGGCCCTTACAAGCTAGCGCTCTGCAAAAGGGCAAAGGGAAATCTTGGACTTATAAAAATCCGCCGTGCAAAATAGGCTTGAATGCAAAAAGTCGTACAATAGTGTTCCGTTTCAGCTGAAACCATTCATACCACTTGTTTTCTAAAGTCGCGTCATTCATCGCTTAGTTACATTCACAAGAAAGTCTTATCCAAGTGATTTTCAAGTATGATGCACATACAGCCTCAGCCTTCCAGAGGATTGAGCAATACCTTTTCTTCCACCTAAAGTCCTTTGTTGCAACTTTCCCGCATACTACAATCAGTACGCTACATGCATGTGTGTTTACGTGTGGCTAAGTAGTTAGCGATCCCCTGCCTCTTGTGTACAGCAATAGGTCATTGAATAGAAAATGCAATTACAGCCGGTCATAGCAATTGTGGATTTCGATGCTTCATTTCCTATGTCCCCCACAAGGCTTGGACGCCACGTCGATCTTCATCTGTTTCGCAACAGGCTCATGGCTACATGTACTGAGTACATGATTCGAGTGTAGTCATGAACCTCTTACAATCATGTACATGTAACTGCAAGATGCCCGCACAGCATGGCCATCGCACTTCCATACTACGTAGACGAGTGTAGACGGTCTTATGGGAACGGCACCGTCGCCCTGGCAAGCACTTGTGGTTCACCATGTTCACTGGCCATCTACAACGAGCACGATGGCAACAGCAGAAGCTCCACAAACTGCATCAGTACGGAAAGTTTCGGAAACCTAATCTGTGATTGCAAGAGCAAAGAGACAGCTACATGCCACAGCAACCACATGTACGCTCTGGTGCTGCAAGAGCAAACACAAATAGGCCGACGGCTCAGCTCTCGAACAGATACAGGTCAGTACATGGTATTACATGTACCGGTATAACCCAATACTAGTTCAATACTAGTATTTATAAGAGAATAAACCGTGGATGGTTATCGTAAGGTCACTGTTTCCGAACACAGTGTCCTCCACCTTGTTCCATGCTGTCAAACTAACAACAGGTCAGTACATGTACAAGAAAGGTAGCGACATGTACTCGAAGTACATAGTGGTGGCAGCGTGGTGACCGTGTGTGGCATCCAAAAGTAGCAAATCGCGGACTTCGGCGCGGACTTGGAGGACAGCATCAAAATGTCAGGGTAAGGCCGAGGTGTTTGCCGAGTCGCCGCCACTTTGCTGCCCAATGTTCCACGACTCGAGAGTCGAGTGATTCTGTTTCCCACAGTTATACACCAGTACCCATCAGAGTGATTCTGGTCCAGGTAATACGCTAGCTATCTCACGCACCCACCCATCCCGTCACTCTAGCAGTCAACATCAATAATAACTGACCTTTGGCTTTGCGTCATCTCAGTCAAATGTACCCGACCAGTTCCTTGTAATTATGATTCACTCCTGGTCGGGTGCACGTTGATCTTAATCACTTGCACCAGTAAAGCATCAACATATCCGGATATTATCCCAGTTATGAAAGGCGTAGCCGATCTCCCTTCTGAATCCCCCTTGTATATGTGCAGCAGAAGAGTCAATGTCAAGTAATGGTGAAATGTTAAAGTATCCTGCACCCTCTCTTTCTAGTTTATAATCAATCACAAGTCAATACTAGTGTCCTTTGAGTGCTTGCAGCCTTTCATCTTTGCTGACGACGTCACCATCCTATTTTAGCATGATACCTCATCCGCTGGCCTCAAGCGAAGGTCCCTGGTTCGAGTCCTGGTGGTGACAGTCTTCAGACTTTTCCCTTTTCCATTCCCGCAACCTATGGATAGTATAGATACCTCATCCAGTTCCAATATTCAGCAGATGTTACAGACCGATCTGTCCAACTGCCAGGTCTGGGCCATGTCGGCAGGTTGCTCATTCTCGGCCAACAACACAACACTTCTATATCATCACGCTAAAGTCTCTTGTCCTCCTATCCTGGAGATTAATGGCATTGACCTTTGTGGCGCAGATACTTGTACGCACCTGGGTATGCAGCTGAGTTCGTTGCAGTGATGCGATGCCCACTAGGCAATACGACGCCATCCATATCTCTTTCTCAAGGAGAGTGCCTCTGCAGTGCTTACATGTATTCGTTTTGGCACGTTCTATACCATCACCTGCATACGTCATTGCTTCACAACCAGTATAGTCCGTGCAGTGTCTGCTCCTGTTTGACAAACCATGGGCATGGGCAGCGTTGTTCTAATCTTTTCCCGGTAAACTCGCGGCACACTCTGAAATTCTCTGCCCCCCCCCCCCCCCCCCGAAGATCGACTCGTTGACCAATCTGCGTCAATTTGAGCAAGATAAGCCCAAAATTAATAGTTCTGCAACCATAGGTTACACTGTGTGGAATCCCACTCTTTTTCTTTAGACGTTGATCTCCAGCATACGTTTTTTAAACATTTCAGCGGCCAGGTAAGTCGGCAGCACTGTGACCATGTTGAAAGCCAAACTGTCTGGTCACGACCCTCTCAGGTCTCCCTGCCCACTTGTGGAAACGTTCTGCCTCCGGACTCCGGCTAGAGACTAGCAGTCTTCGGACAGGCTCAGTGCCAGTGGAGCACTCTGCAATGCAATGCTAATCTACGCAAAAGGTACACAAAAGGAAGTAAAATAGGGCTGTTTTCGTTGTTACTCAGAGTTTCATGGCAAAAACCAATCATCAGACAACATAATGCTCTAGAGCTGCAATCCTCGCCTCCTCGAGAAGATCGTCAAAGCTCAGCTTACATGTTGTATACATTACATGCATCATAGGAGTCGTGTGTCATATCATGTTTCTCATGCTATTCATCCTTGCACACGCTACACTAGACGTCTGCGTAAGGACAGCTTGCTGGTGTGCTGCATGCATTTATTGCTAGTTCCATGCGTAGCTCTTTGCCCTACTGTGGCGGGAAGGTCGTCCCGTGCAGCCACAATGATCAGCTGCGCTACGGAGGTTCAGTTCCGGCAAACATGCGTGCGGATTTGCATTTTGCTGCTTGGTTTTGATGTATTTGTAGTTAGTGCAAGGAAAGAGCTTGCTGGTGCAGTTGTCGTTTTGGTTTTGGTTTTGAGTTTAGTTTGCTCTTTGTTGTTACCTGCTTTGAACGATCGCCTTTTGTGGAATCGTTACGCTCCTTGTGGTACAATAATACAGTCTTCAGAAATATCGAATACATAGTGGTCCTTCGAGCCGGATCTAGTCGCGGTTCATTTTATAACCTCACAAGGATGAGTGAGTCGCGGGCGATCGGACCGATGCGTAGTGGAAGAAAGACTAAAGGCTGGCACTCGGCTCGATGTGGGTTTGAGGAGTCAGATAAAGAGGAGCTCGAATTGAGTTTAGCGAAATTGAATAGGCGAGCGGAGGAACTAAAACTCCTGATCGCAGAGGAGACCGCTTCTATGGAAGCGCTGCATGCAGCCTGGATCGCGCGTGGATTGAGTGAGCGTCATGGACGTACATCTACGGCAGAGCCGAGTCCCGTGCCAGTACCAGTGGCAGTGCCGAGACGACCAACGCCTGCACCGCGATCGCGGAAGACGAGTGCTACTTGTGGTAGTCCAGGAGGTGTTGTCAGAAGATTTTGGACAGCCGAATGTCGATCTCGGCAGCAGAACAAACTAGTTGTAGTTTTGATCAGCCTGCACTTGATGGAGTAGGAGCGCCTGGAACGGCAGGAGTTCAACTTCAACGTGTGTCATATGCGCCTCTTGCACCTTCACCTGCGCCTCGAACTCGCGTGGAACCCAGACTAGCCAGGTTTAGTAGGTCCAGCGGCAGCAGAAGGCAAGAGCGCAGCAGCAGCGGCAGCAGAAGGCAAGAGCGCAGCAGCAGCGGCAGCAGAAGGCAAGAGCGCAGCAGCAGCGGCAACAGAAGGCAAGAGCGCAGCAGCAGCGGCAGCAGAAGGCAAGAGCGCAGCAGCAGCGGCAGCAGAAGGCAAGAGCGCAGCAGCAGCGGCAGCAGAAGGCAAGAGCGCAGCAGCAGCGGCAGCAGAAGGCAAGAGCGTAGCAGCAGCGGCAGCAGAAGGCAAGAGCACGTCAGCGGCCGATTGAACCCGGCTGATCTACCAAGCCGTGGAGTTGCGGCCTCGCACTTGCAGGATGACGGCAAATGGTGGAGTGGCCCAGAGTTCTTGCAAGAGCGTCCGGAGCGATGGCCGAACAAAGACATCATAGTGCCCCAGGTTCTTCCGGCACTGCTTCAGCGTCCGCACCCGATGACTCTCACTAGCCAGATCCAGGCAGAGCAGACGACATGCCGCCTGCACCCAGACAACGTCTCGTCCTGGAGCAATCTTCTGCGGGTCACAGCCTGGTGTAAACGGTTCCTTGATAATACCAGAGGCCGACCTCAGCAGTGTGACAGCAACGCAGGTGCTACCGTGCAAGTATCTCTCAAGAGTGCTAAGGCTGTTTCGGTTCCCGAATTGACGGTCACAGAACTCCAAGGCGCCGAGCGGCTCTGGATAAGCTATGCGCAGAGCCAGTGCTACGGAGAAGTAGTGTCAACGCTGAAGGAGAAGAAGCCTCTTCCACCCAGTGCACCGCTAACGAAGCTACAGCCGTTCCTGGACACTGACGGTCCACCGCTGCTCCGAGTTGGTGGACGGCTCCGGACCTCACACCACCTGTCTGACCAGTTCCGGTCCCGTGTGATACTGCCCGCCAATCATCGCGTCACTCAGCTAATTGTTGGGCATGAGGATGAACGCTGTCAACACGGAGCAGGCACGAACCATCTGCTCTCTAACCTGGCCGATCGGTATTGGATCATCAAAGGTCGCCAGGTCGTTAAATCCTACCGTCACCGCTGTGTCCGTTGCCAGAAGCTGTGGAGACGTGTCGCTGAGCCCAAGATGGGGAACTTGCCAAACATCCGGACAAGCGGACCGTTACAGGCATTCGCTCATGCTGGAGTAGACTACGCTGGGCCTTTCCTGGTCAAGATGGGACGCGGACGATCGCAAGAGAAGCGCTATATAGCCGCTTTCTCATGTCTGCAGACCCGTACATGCCACCTGGAGGTAGTGCGTTCTCTGGATGGCGATGGCATGGAGATGGCTATGGCAAGGTTGTGCCATCGCCGAGGTCGACCAACACTGATCCTATCCGACAACGGCAGTAACTTCGTTGCTACCGATCGTGAACTGCGGGAAGCGCTGAGGGATTTGGATCAAGCCAACATCACAGCTGGGTTGGTGATTCAAGGCATCAGATGGCAGTTTAATCCACCGCGATCACCGCCACCTCTGCCGCCGCCACGGAAACCTCCATGGCCGCTACCTCCTGTACCACCGCGGGGAAGAGCTCGGCCGCACTTTGGCGGAGCATTTGAGAGGGTGGTCGGGGCCTTGAAAAAGGCACTCCAGTCAGTCCTGTACAGGGCTAGCCTGACCGACGAAGAGCTGCAAACTTCGTCGTGGGTCATGTCAACGTCGCAACAGCTCTGGAGACGGCGGCGGACTCAGAGTCGACGCCAGTTCACCCATACCATTGCTGGAAAGTTATCCAGCAGCTCCTCAGAGATGTTTGGAAGCGGTGGCTAAGAGAAATGGTCTCTGCTATGAACATCATGACTAAGTGGCGCCGCCAATCGGGCACGGTCGAGATTGGAGACGTCTTCCTCGTCATGGACGATGCGTTATCACGATACAGATGGCCGCTAGGACCCGTGAAGGCCACGTTCCCTGGCAAGGACGGCATTGTTCGCGTCATGGACATCCAGGTCAACGGCAAGAAATATCGGCGTGGTGTTCGATACCTAGTGTCGCTCGATATCCTGACAGCTGAAGCAGCCACTGCGGTATCTCAGTCGGCAGCCCTTGACTTGGATGAGTTGCAGTAAGACACTAATGGAACAGACGTTAGTTAGTGACACAGTACACTTTCGTCACCTCATTTTCTCACTGCTTTCTAGAGCAGTAGGCACTTATTCCTCTATGTGCTGTGTGCTACATACTAGTATCTTCCTTTGTTGTAGTTTCACTCTCCCCTGGTTCGTTCAAGGTGGGGGGTATGTTGTATACATTACATGCATCATAGGAGTCGTGTGTCATATCATGTTTCTCATGCTATTCATCCTTGCACACGCTACACTAGACGTCTGCGTAAGGACAGCTTGCTGGTGTGCTGCATGCATTTATTGCTAGTTCCATGCGTAGCTCTTTGCCCTACTGTGGCGGGAAGGTCGTCCCGTGCAGCCACAATGATCAGCTGCGCTACGGAGGTTCAGTTCCGGCAAACATGCGTGCGGATTTGCATTTTGCTGCTTGGTTTTGATGTATTTGTAGTTAGTGCAAGGAAAGAGCTTGCTGGTGCAGTTGTCGTTTTGGTTTTGGTTTTGAGTTTAGTTTGCTCTTTGTTGTTACCTGCTTTGAACGATCGCCTTTTGTGGAATCGTTACGCTCCTTGTGGTACAATAATACAGTCTTCAGAAATATCGAATACATTACATCCTTTCTGACCGATCACAGTATTCTCCCTGACTCGCAGTTCGCGTACAGGAAGAACCACAGTACGGAGGACGCTCTTGTGCTTGCTGTCAATCGCTGGCTGAAAGCGAAGTATGAGCGCAAACTCACAGGTGTGATATTCGTGGATATGTCGAAGGCTTTCGACTGTGTCAAACACACCATCTTGGCACAGGAGCTATCCGACATTGGGGTCGGCGGTACTGTCCAGCTATGGTTCACTAGTTACCTGAGTGAGCGGCTTCAACGCGTAGTCGTGGGCGGAAATTGCTCGGAATACGTCGCATGCAGTCGAGGGGTGCCGCAAGGATCCGTCCTCGGCCCCCTCCTGTTCACACTATACATCCGTAACCTTCGATGCTGCTTGCCCCAGCAGGTCACAAACCAGGAATTTGCAGACGACATTGCAATTGAAGCCTCGGGCAGTTGCGAACAAGTGTGCTCTTCTCTAAGCACAGCCATCACTGGCCTGTCGCAGTGGTTGGAGGACCGCGGACTAATGCTGAACCAAAAGAAAACGCAAGCTCTGTTGATTTCCCCAAGAGGCCCAGCCCCTGACACAGATAACATTCGAATTCGCTGTGGGAATGCAGCCCTTGCAGTTGTGGAACAAGCGCGGTACCTGGGCGTAATGGTAGATGGGCAGCTCTCCTGGGAGCCTCACGTCAATCACACAATCCAGCAGGTGCGGAAGTCAGTAGGTGCGCTGTGGCGGAGCCGCCGAAGCCTCACCCTGGCGTCAAAGATCCTGTTTTACAGGTCGATGATCCAGGGTAGGTTGTCGTACGCTTCCAACGCCTTTTATCCGTCACTTCAAATTGGCAACATGGAGCCCCTCACACGTCTAACGAAGTGCGCTATCCGCGGCTTCTTCGGTCTGCCACCGTGGTCGCGCACGAGCCCGATCTTTGAACAGCTCCGCCTCACCACCCTGGAGGACATGTTTAACATTAAGCTCCTCATCTTTGTCCGTCGTTGTCTGTTCTCCCGAGCTAGCTCCCTCTTCACCAGCTTCTTCGTGAGAGTTACTGGTGACCGCACTCGGGGAGCAGCACATCACCTCGTTCGAGTACCATTTTGGCCCGGTCCTGCGGGTCGAGCGACCATGCAGTTCATCGGCGCAGTCCTGTGGAACCAGCTCCCGTCTGATCTCCGTTCCGAGCCCAGCCACCTTCAGTTCTGTGCCCTTTTGTATATAGTATGTTCCCATTCCGTTTTTGCTTTGGTGTAGCCCTGAGGTTGATTGCTTATTTATTTCTACCCTTCCTCTCTCCATACTTCTGTCCCCCCCCCCTCTCTCTCATTCCTTCTGTCGTCCACATGTATCAAAGGAGGCGAAATCGCCTGTTTGTGGTGCGACGTTAAATAAACTTCTACAACAACATCTTGATCCTATACCGTATACCGGTCTGTAGTATTATGTGCATTTACTATCCCAATCTCGACTGTCAGTCGCAACCATGGTCTACCATGGTCAACGGCTGAACTGAACATACACGGTGACTGGCTGCTGTACAGACACATAATTATACATGTATGAGGGCGTAGCAGAGGCGCAAAACTGACGGACGACGAGCTTGAAAGTGTTGACGTCGCTTTAGCCGCAGCATTCCATCCAATGACTATGTCAGGCACATCCCGCCCAATGGCAACTGGGAATGTTTTTTGGGGCAGGGTTTTGAAGTACTACTACTAGTTGGATCGCAACAAAAATGAGCTACTGTATGTTTGTGAACCAACTGTCTAGTGTTGTAGTGATAAGAGAGCGGCGGCTAGAGAGAATTGCGGGAAACTCCTACATTTTTTCCAGTTCCAGTTGCCCGAAAGCAAGTCTGTATGAAAGGCGAGGATGGTGAAATAGGATGCTCGGGCGGGTAGCTGTCGCTACTCCATTTACAGATCTTTAGTCTAAAGGGGTGGACAACCAAGCTCCGCCTGAACGAGTCGGACGAGCTTCAGTCGAGGTGGTGAAACATCGATTTTTGGTCAACAATATAACTAATTACTTGCTCATAATGGCAGCCAAGCACGCACCCCTGAGTCCGCTAGCTTCGGAAAGCGGGCCTGCCTCGCCTGCATCTCCGCTGTCGGCCTCCAGTGCTGGTAAGAGGTCGACATCGTCTCGATTCGTAGTGGCTGCCATCGACTTCGGCACCACGTACAGCGGCTATGCGTTCTCGTTCACACGCGACCCGGACAGCATACATGTGATGCGACGCTGGGAGGGCGGCGATCCGGGCGTCAACAATCAGAAGCTGCCCACCAGCGTCCTGATGGACCCCAGTGGCAAGTTCCTCTCGTTTGGCTACAGCGCTCGTGATGATTACCATGACCTGGATCCGGCGGATGCCAAGAAATACTTGTACTTCGAGAAGTTCAAGATGTCGCTCCATTCAAGTGAGGTATGTGTCTGGTAAAAAGATCGGAATTATTGGTCAGCATTCCTTACATAAATACCTGAGGTTTGAAATACTCAAAAATGCTCTATCGTCTTGTCGTTGAAAGGCAGTGTGTGCGATTAGACCTCCCATCATGCATGGTGAGACTGGAAAAAGGATCATTCAACTGTGTCTACTTGAGCTAATTGATTCCAGTTTGAAGATTGTAAGGATGCTTGGACACACACATGTTGATATACATTGTACTTCAGTACAAATATCAGGAAAAGTTCCTTCTGCCAGCGGAGAGGGCTCAACACAATAATGTGGAGCACTGACTATTACACATAGAAGGCACAATGGAGAAGGTTTACAGATTTGTCGCAACTTGAGTTTCTTGCTTAATGCAATCATCAGGCGACTGTATGCAATCATCAGGCGACTATATGCAATCATCAGGCGACTATACGAGTTGCGACAAATCTGTAAACCTCCGTTGTGCCTTTTGTGTGTACAAATATCATGTAGGAGAGTGTCAACCGTAACATGGGGAGAATATGCAGTGGAGTACGAATCGTTGTGTCCCCTTCAAGAATGACCCTTGCACTGCTGTCCTTTGCAGTTCAGTGCAGCATGATCTAAGAGCTAATGGACCAACAGTATAATCTCCAGGTCTGCCTACAAATGAGTCAAGAATAGTGATGATCATTGAACTGCAACTTGATGTAATTCCAAGCACATTACTTACAGTATTCATTGGTTTGAGGGAAAGATGCAAACGAGAAAAGAAGAAGAAAATTGCCTGTCACCACCAGGACTCGAACCAGGGGCCTTCACCTGAGGCCAGCAATGCTCTGACCACTGAGATATGGTGCAGCTGTCATTCCACATTACTATAATGTGAACCTTTTCTTGTGTCTTTCTCGTTTCCTGTGTCTCTTCCTGCCATGTACAATACAGGAACTTCATAAAGGTGTGGAACTGACTGCAGCCAATGGCAAGAAAGTCCTGGCACTGCGTGTGTTTGCATGTGCGCTGCACTTCTTCAAAGAGCATTGCCTGCAAGAGCTGTCGGATCAGTCGTCGACGACCATCTTGAATAGCGACATAAGATGGGTGATTACGGTGCCGGCTATTTGGAAGCAACCAGCAAAGCAGTTCATGAGACAGGCAGCATATGAGGTCAGTTCCACTTCCCCAAGTTGTTGGAGGGGATTTTGAACTTATTTAATTTTTTATCTCTCTTGTTGACAGTGGTATGATGTACAGCACACGACGAACAGACTTCAGTGTATTACACCATGGAGCCCTGCTGGAATCCACTCCACAATCAAAACTGTCATCCCAATGCACATACATGTACATATATCTACCAAGGTGATGCATAGTCAAGGGATATATTAGCTCTTGAGGTCGCTTACTTAACTAATCGTTCCTTCCTCTCCTTTGCTCGCAGGCTGGCCTCGCAAGTCCACAGCAGCCTGACCAATTACTCATCGCACTGGAGCCCGAGGCTGCATCTATCTATTGCCAGAAGCTCAAGCAACGTGAGCTGGTGCAAGAAGAGGCGTCTGAAGACGTGGCCTCGCTGGCTGCTGACTTCTCCAAGGAATCGGCCAATCCCACTCGCTACATCGTTGTGGATTGTGGCGGAGGAACAGTAGATGTCACGGTTCATGAAATGGAGAAAGGCGAGCGTTTGAAGGAGCTACACAAGGCATCCGGCGGAGCATGGGGCTCAATTGGCGTTGACCGCGAGTTCGAGAACCTTCTCAGCTCCATATTTAGCGATGAGTTTATCGAGAATTTCAAAATGTCCAAACCAGCGGGATGGGTAGACATGATGATAGCATTTGAGGCGAAGAAGAGGACTGCAAATCCCAAGAAGACAAGTCCCCTCAATATCTCGCTGCCGTTCGCCTTCATCGAGCACTATAGCCGAATCAAGGGTCAGTCGGTGGAGTATGCGATCAAGAAGTTTGCCAGCAAGGACATCAAGTGGTCATCGCAGGGCATGCTCCGGCTAGCGCCAGCAGCCATGCAGCAACTGTTTGTACCCGTGGTGACTGACATAGTGCAGCATGTTCAAGGACTACTGGACAAGGAGGACTGTGTAGGAGTGAAGTACCTGTTCCTTGTTGGAGGATTTGCAGAGTCGCTGGTTCTACAGGCGGAGGTAGGCAACGGCTCTGTATGTGAATGGTTTAAAATAATGCAGGGGCATGGTCTGAGGTCCATAGGAAGTAGCTCCCTGCTATGTAGATTCTACAGGCCGGGTATTGGCCCACAGCAGTAAAGCCCTGTTTCATGACAACATTGACGGAATACTAGTAACCTGGTTCCCGAGCACGTCATGAACCAGTCAACCTACGTCTCTGTAATGGTAAACCAGTTCCCCGTGAGATCACCGGATTGTGGGCAGCCGGCATGACCGTCGGACTGCTGGGACTTTGCTTTGGCAGTGTTGCCGCAGTGACAGACAATCCCTTCACCATTCATAGCTATCATGCCGGCTTCAAAGTCAGAGGGTGATCACTGAGAAATCATTGTGTTCCCACAGGGTTCAGGGGCAGGCTGGTATCCCTAGTTATCGTAATTCTGAATCACATACGTTTCAATTGGGAAAGCGCCAGAGATCTGGAATATGACGTCACAATTTCCACAAATATTGGCAGAAGAGTAGTAATATTTCCAGTAAAACTCACCCACAGGATGCCCGGTAGACCTAGGTGCCTGTAGCTTGGCAATCCGGATAAGAGAGATACGAGTGTATGCTCTTCTACACTCGGTCAATCCGTTCTATGTCCTTCTATGTTTACCTCAAAGCTCCTTGTCTATGGCAGCTCTGAAGACAGATTAATCAAAATGTTAGTGTTAGGTGACTGCAATATGGTGGTCATAGCGTTCTACCACTGACTAACAACCTCAGTACAAGTACACTATATGTGTAGTTATTTATTCGATCCCTTAAGAATTCCTAACGGGTACAGGTGAAGTTGTCACAACATGACTATAAAAAGTGCATTTGGTTCAGAATTTGATGGTCATCTGGGAGGTGTATTTGTCACATGTGACATCTGTTTCACGTGTCTTGCACAGATCCGGAGTGCCTTTTCAGAGCGCGTTCGTGTAATAATTCCGCAGGACACCTCATTAGCAATCCTGCGAGGCGCCGTGCTCTTTGGCCTCAACCCGACCGTGGTGAGGGTGCGCCGTTCGGCGCTGACCTACGGCGTGGGCGTGTTGAACGAATACGACCCGGCGGTGCATCCCTCCAACAAGCTGGTCGAGAAAGGCGGCCTGCAGTGGTGCACGGACGTGTTCGACACGTTTGTGACCGTCGATCAGCCGGTTGCACTGGGCGACGTGGTGACACGCAGCTACACGCCCGCCAAGGCAGACCAGGTGTCCACCGTCATCAGCATATTCTCCTGCGAGGGCCGCGCCGCACAGTTCACCACCGACCGCAGTGTGCGCCGCTGCGGCGAGCTGCATCTGGAGATGCCCGACACGACGGGAGGGCAGCAGCGTGAGCTGCAAACCAGCATGATGTTTGGTGACACAGAGATCAAGGTGATGGCCGTTGATCTCACCAGCGGTAAGAAGGCTCATGCCACCATTGACTTCCTCAATAAATAGCCACCGTGCTTCAACCGGGCCACACAATCGGATCCAGAACCGGGGAATGCCGCACTGGCAGTGGTACTTCGTAGAGACTGCACATTATGAGCTACACCAGACCAGCTGTGTACAAAGAATACTCAGTAATAGTACTAGCAGTACATGTACGGCCAGTTTACTTGTTCTGTATCGAAGGTGCTGCATCACGAGTATGCTGCCTCTCATCACTGCTCAGATTAGAATTTTGATAACTGAAAGACATTGTTGCCCTTCATGCTAGCAAACATTTGAAAACCTAGGTTTCAACTTGAGCTTCTAGGCTGGTTTCTTCTTCTTGTATCTGCCCGAAGTGTAGACTTATTTGAAGTTACTTTGATGATAATCTTTTATCAATTGGCTTTGCTGGTCGAGCAGCCATGCAATAGGTACAAGTACTCAGTGACATTATCTTGACTGAAGACTTGGTGCATCCTGCTTGGATTCGTTTGTAATCACTGCCGATTGCTTGCCTTCAGAATGAGATCAGAGAATTCTACTACACCAACTACTATAATAATTACAATACTGAGATACTGCATGTAGGTAGAGTCAAGCAGGGTTTTACTTCTGAAGTACATATGATAAGTTAACCGTGATACAAGATACCACATGGTATTATATAACCCAACACTAGTACAATACTAGTATTAGATAAACCTTGTTGTAGTTCACACATGTTGTTAGTTTGACAACATGAAACAAAGTGGAGGACACTGTGTTCGGAAACAATTCAGGATAAAGTAGCTACATGGCTATCAGGACGACATCCAGGAGCGATCAAAGAATACACGACTGACGTTAGGAGAAGTCTAAAAACTCCCCTAGCATAATGAGGGTCAGAACCGAGTTCAACACCCATGATTATGGTTCAAAAACAGAGAGGTTCCAGGCTGTCCAAGAGAGTGCTCAATACCGAGAGGTAGAGCTGCCGGGTTCAAACAATAGGAGGACAGAGAAAGTGTTTTCTCTGTTCTCCCATTATGGTCACTGTTTCCGAACACTGGCACAGTGTCCTCCACCTTGTGTCCTGCTGTTAATTAAACTAACAACAAGATACCACATGTGCCTGTAGACTAGTGTAGATGTTCTAATGAGCCAAGTAAATGAGAAAGTTAGTTCTAGTGAAGAGCGTCTCACTCAGTGATTTGCACTGATTTCATTCACAGTATCAACTACTAGTAACCTGCTGTTACTTACTACAATAGCACAAGTATGTAGTTACTAGCACATGACAGCATTCTCATAAAGTCATTGACAACACGAATGTGGTGAGAGAAGGTTTGCCTTGTAACCGGTAATACTACAGCAAACCGTCCTATACTGAACAACCACAATAATGATGTAGAGACACCGTGGCAATCAGAGATGTCGTTGACTTAGAGAAGGAACAGCGTTGGTCCCAAGATACTGCCTTGTGGCACACCGGCTCGGCTTGGAAAGTGCGAGGTCTGACCACCAACAACAGCCCTTATCTTCCTTTCCTGAAGGTACGAGCGAAGCCAATCTGCCAATATCGGACATTTCAGCTTTGTGCAGCATGCCAGTGTGTGATACTTCATCAAAAGCACCAGCTATGTCGACTGCAGCGATTCGAGCGATTTCATTGCGACCCACTGTGCCGGACCACTCATGAAGTAGGGCAGTTAGGGGGTCGGCCAAGTTCACGGCGGAAGCCAAACTGCCTGGGAGAGAGGATCTTGTGACGTTCCAGGTGATTGACAATTTGCCTGTTGATGATGGTCTCCCTAATCTTGGACACAATGCTCAGAAGGGAGACAGGTCACGAGGTAATTTTCACTGCTGCTTTGGAAGCGCTTGTGGATAGGCACGACATGTGCCGTCTTCCAGGGGTTGGGATAGTGCGACCAGCGCAGACAGAGGGCAAACAGCCTAGTCAGATGGGGTGCAAGCTCTTTCGCACCCACTCGAAGAACCCGGCCTGGGAGACTATTTGGACCAGAGGCATTGTTGACTTGACGCTTGCGGAGCTCCCTGTGAACCTCTGTGAACCTCAGCAGTTCGAAAGCGGATCATGCAGCCAATTGCTGGTCAGTCGTGCTACTCGGCTCTTGGAAGGTTGGGCGGCTTCGAGGGAGCCATCTGTTAGCTTATTGCGGAGTGTGCTCTGTTCAGTTCGGCAGCGTGTGCGCTTGCCATTGTGCGAATATTCTTTGCCACGGTATTCTGGTATCGGAATATGTGTATTGCAACTGTTGTGAGCCTGGATTCCGCCGCCACACCTTGCAAACTCGTTGCTTTGCTGCGATCGCAGCATTGCCATGAAAAAAACCAAACATTGCCATGCCCTGCTGGATTCGCTGAGTAAGGCGTGTGCAGGCCTCCTCATGTGGATCATCCTGTACTGCTGTAGAAAGGAATCCCAGTCTGACTCTCTGAGGCTCGCAGGCGACTCCAGTCAGCAAGGTTGTAGCGCCACACACGCCTGGATGTGGGAGGCTCCCTATATTATTATCATGTATAGCGGGTGCTGCTGAGACAAAGGAACATACATGACTTGTAGTACAACCTGGTGGTCAGACTTTCCGAGGTCGAGGGGAGGTAACAAGGGGGTGCGGGCTTCCGGATGCTGTACTGAGTCTGGAGTCAGAATCATGATTGTCATGATAATGATCTGCACGCCTGGCACACAGTGACTGAGCCGTCTCTCCAGTCTACATAAAGACAGTATTCGCTGGAAAATACAACAAAAATTATTGGTTGCTCACAATAGTCACATGCACAGATCTAGATCTAGAGTCACACTCTGATATGAGTGGAGTAGAGTCTACCTGTCGTTGGCGGCATATCGTGCAGTGCTGACTGAGTCCGTACTCTTGGCCTCTGAGTCTGAGTGCACGCAGTGTTGTTGAATGTTGTTCATTGCACACTTTTCCATAATTATACTCTGCTTGTGTACATCACATTCTACCGAGACATTTATACAGTAACTGTTCCAATAGTCCAAGTAACAGTTAGCTTGGTCCAGCAACCCTCTTCCTCTGTCTCTGTTCCAACGAAAGGAAACGACTTGCCCATCGAGTTGCTGACTGCGGAGTGCCGCACGGGCCCGGTGGTGTGGTGATTATTACACTTGTAAAGTGCAGTGGACAACAGGGAATCACAGTTGGGAAGAGAGAATTGAAGGACTTGAGATCTCGTTGACGACTTTTTGGTCGCTGGACTCCAGTCCGGCAGTGCAGTGGCCGTGTGGGATCGCTAGCGCACTTTGTAAGTAAAGCCTGTGCACCACCCTGTGGGGACTTCTCTGCAATCTATTTTTTGAAAGATTATGTGCGAATTTCTCTAAGAACTTGAGGGCTGAATTGTTTCGTAGATCGCGGCAGCTGGTTTGTGCTATCATTATTCTCCACCCTGGCAAGGAGACGCTTACATTCATACTGTCTCCCGGGCGGCGTTGGGGTAAAGAGGGAGAGCAAGGATGGTGAAAGGACAGAAGGCGCAGAAGAATCCCAATGCGGGAAAAAAACAGGTTGGCTATTTTCTTTTTCATCCGTAATATTTGTGCAAATGTTCACAAAGCACGATTTGGTAGTTACACATCAGTGCAGCCAGAAGCAGGTGCTGTTTGCAAAGCTCTTAGTCTAACTATGCAACGAGTGTATGATGGGATCTCCCCTCTGAATTCGTTGAACTTTGAGACTTTTGCATTGAAAACTGTATTTCTTGGAATAAGCAACCCCCTCCCCTGCAGCTTAGTTCAGACTATGGAGGCACAAGGCTTAGTTCTACATGTAGTGACAAAGAGTCCATAATAGCACACAAAGAGGCAAAGCCAGTTGTAAATCTGATGAGGCCTTTCTACCATTACTTCTCAAATCAGTACATGGTGATAATGTGACGAAGCACGATGTCAATTTTCACAGCGTATTGGCGGTAAAATTGTGATGAAACGTAAGCAGGCTGAATGATGATGTGAGCTGCGCCAAGGAGTACAAGAACTATAGGGAGGTGGGAAGTCAAAATAGCACTAGCTTCCTAACAAACTCCTGTCTACAAAGCTCAGGCTGAAGTTGGCAATGTAAACAGCCTCTAGCACATCTAGGTGGCATTTGCTGTGCGCCCGTGCATGAATCTTGAAGCGCTCTGGACTATTCTTACATACTGCATCCAGTCATGCAGGGGACATGATAAGATGTGTTGTTATTGCACTATCATTTTTCTCAACTGGTAGATTGTGAGAATCACGCTGGTTGGGTTCACACTTACTCGGGATAGTGTTAGTCTGCGCTACCTGATCAGCTGGGCTCCAAGAATATGCACAGTGATGGATCAGTGCATACCCCGCTGCCTTCATCACATACTTATCCCACCAGCACCGCGTACTGTATTGTACTATACCAATGTACTCAAACCTACAATCTCTCGTACCGGCACACCCGTTTTCTTTGTTTGATTCGCTCGGCTGCCAAACACGATCTTTTAAATTTTGGGCACATGGACTTCAGTTCTGTAGAAAGGGTTGGTTTCACTGAAACCAACCCTTTGTACGAAACTTTTCATCATAGCCTAGGAGCTGAGGCATCATTCATGATCCACAGCAAGAAGGCAGCGAAGCCTGTACCTATGGTGAAATAAAATAATTCAAGATAAGATAACATAACATAGCTGAAGTCCAAAATTTAATGAAACTTTTTCAGACCACACAGGGAGTGTGCAGTTTGATTTTCCACACTGCTCGGATGTAGCTGCATGGCGTAATGAAGGCACTGCGCATCTTGCCCATGGAGAAAAGATCACAGTTGCATACTGTCGTTATGGACTCTGCCAGCGGTGTAGTGAACGGTGATCTACACAAACTATTATTCGGTCGAAAACCAATTCAACAAACTGTGTAATCTGCTACTCTCTACGTGCACCACGGAAAGCTATTTTGTCCCTTGCAAAGCCGCCCTTATACTTTTTTTCCCCTAAGGGCCTTATTTCAGTAAATACCGTATTTAAGCTGGAATGCATCCTCACCACCTCACCCATCCATGTGGCATCAGCCCGAAGAAAGATTTTGTGGTACTGCATGTACATGTACATCGTACTGTTAGTGTTGTTCATGCAGATTGAATGGCTAGTAATGCGGTAGTACTTGCAAGTTGTGAGTGAGTGTGGGTTGTGATCTAGTATTTTATTGTGGTGAAAGGAATGTACTGAATGTTCGTTCGTTCCATAACAGCATATGTATGTGTGTGTTTGCGCATGTGTGTGTATGCATGTGTGTGTGTGTGTGTGTGTGTGTGTGTGTGGGTGTGGATGTGTGTGCGCGCTCGTGTGCATGTGTGTGCGTGTGTGCATGTGTTCCTGCGGCAATATGAATGCACGGATCCGTCTGTTTTTGCCCTTCTGATAGCCGGCAAAGAGCTCCAAAGCTGCCGAAGTCCTCGGTAAGTCTGGCGGTCTGCTCACTTTTTCAGACTATGGTAGCCTTCCATCATCAACATCAGCTTCATCGACATCGGCCGTAGCAACAGCAGCAGCAGCACCAGGCTATATTCCAGTGGCAGCAGCCAGCGGCTCAGTGGCAGCCATGGATATCAGTGACTCAGACCTCCCGCCCGATGTTCTCCCCAATCTGCGCAAGCTGAGCAAACGTGATGCAACGACCAAGGCCAAGGTATGCGCTTAGTATCCACATCCATGCTTGTGTAGTTTTAGTCGTACGCATTGTTCAGAAGTTTTAGGGAGTTGTAAAGGGAGTCCAGATTTGTTGGTGTGTGTTCCCATTACATGCAGTGATGTGTGATGTGTGATTTTGTGTGTATGTCCTGTGTTCTCTTAGGCACTTTATCACCTTGGCCAGTTGAAGTTTAATGATCTTACAGACCAAGAGATCAAGGCCATATTGCGACACTGGCCTCGCCTGTTCTGCCGACTGGTCACGGTGAGGATGCTGCTGCATTCAGTCCTTGTGCATGATCGCATGATTAATGATAGGGTCATAGCACCTGCAGTGACTGTGCAAGTGGTCGTGCCTGTTCATTACGCGTGCTTGCGGGCTCGTGTGCGGTGGTGGCGTTTCCGTGTTCGTAGTAGTGCATCGTGCCCGGGACCACAGAATAGCTGTGCATCAGTATCCATTATTAGTCTTGTGTTATGATTGTCCACTGCGAATTGCAACCAAATTGGATAGGGACCGAACGGTTGTTATTTATCGTCCGCTATTAAGTTTCTTCTGGTCTCAGTTTGCACTGTGATGAAGATGATGTTTCTTGTGTCTTGTGTTGTCACTGATAATACTTTGCCCGCGGCAGGATTATGACCACATGGTGCGTGAGTACACACTTCGTTTTCATGACTCGCTGGCACGGCGAGCTGGAAAGCTCATTGAGCCACACCTGAAGTCATTAGTGCCCGCCTGGATTGGGCTCAAGTTTGATGTTCACACGCCAACGTCAAAGTTTTGTAACAGCAGCTGGAGCAGTATATTCCCCCCGGAGAAGAACAGGAAGGTGATAGGAATCTGCCTCTCGGAATGTCTAAAGGTACGAGGTAGTCTCTGTGCCACATCATGGTTGTCTTCTATAGTGGTGGGAACATGTGTTCAGGAGGATTGAGTTAGAATTTCCCTGTTTCACATGATCAGTTTGCCATGGCTTTCTGGCATTTTGTCTTGTCCCATAACTAGTATACACTTATACCTGGGTTATCCGGACGCCGAAGGTACGGGCACTCCGGTCTACCGGGCACCCTTTGGGCGAGTTTCAGTGGAAATATTACTACTCTGTTGTCACTTTTTGTGGAAATAGTGACGTCATATGCCATATCTATCAACATGCATGTGATTCGGAGTTACGGACATTTCAAAGCTACGGGCAGTGCCCGGTCCTGGACCGCCCCGATAAACGAGGTTTGAGTGCAGTTGGATTTTTTCGTGTGCAGTGGAAATGCCAAACCCAAGTGCCAAACCTAAGTACCACTGGAAGATGGTAGTGTCTGTGCGGGTACTACTTTGGGCATCCAGATAGCGGTGTGATTTCACTAACAATTTGGGTCTTGCAAACTGGCATGAAAATTAATAATCAATGAAGCTAGAATTGAGTCTGCTGTCTTTTCATGATGGATGATACCAAGAGTACATAGCCCCCCCCCCCCCCCCCCCCCCAGAGTGTGCAACGCCTGATCCAGCTCTGCATAGGGTCTTGGTTGAGCGTAGTCGGATCTTCTGATGTCATGCGTATACTTCACACCAGCGCAAGGCCGGTCTCGAGGCAGGGCACCGTTGTTTTTGATCCGAGAGTACCCGCGACTCCCCGGGTACCCCTCAGATGTGTACGGTATTATGATGCAAAGATCCGATTACGCTGGACCAAGACCCTATGCACAGCTGGATCAGGCGTTGCACACTCTGGGGGGTTTATGTACTCTTGATGATACTTGGCCCTGTCATTGCCAATTACACAGCATGATAATCTTTACCTGGCCCATGCAGAGGTTACCTATAGTCATTCTGAGGAGGGGGGGGGGGGGGGGGGGGGGCTTCACTGATAAGGGCTGGAAGCTATAGCCTACTATAGGGATCTTTTGCATCTCAGTGATTGGAGGTGGGGTATCCTGATGTGGGTGGCAGTAATCTGTATGTTTGACAGTCCATGGTATGTGTATGGGGTTGTGGGGGCTTGTGTCTTTTGCAGCAATACAATTACAATCTTCTGGAGGAGACACCAGAGTCGTTGACAGAGCTCAGGTACGTCAGCCAGGGCTTTGCACAATGTATCATAATGTTGTGCTGTGACTGGGAGTCGCTTTCACCAGTTTATTTTCATCCTCCAACAAAAACTCAATTTTGTTGCTGTGTTCTTAGCTCACTACACTCTGTCTGCTGTTGACTATGTATGTTGTCTTGGCTCTTTCCCCCCTCCCATTCTAGTCCCGGCACAGATGAAGAGAAACAAGCACGGTTTGAGCGGTTGATAGCGTCGTCGTATCTTTCTTTGGAGTATGTCATCATGTCGCTGAATACTGATGATCGTTCTGCTGAACTGACTTCTCAGCAAGTGGAGAGTGTCTCGCTTTTGACCAGCAATAAGAAAATCTGGAAGTGCGCTTCGCACCCTTCTGCTGCTGTAAGCCATCAAGTAACGGTGTCCTTATGTCTAAGTGCGATCTGCTACGGTATTGGCGTAGCTAATACATCTGGTGCTACCATTGATAGATTTGCTGTTACGTGTGTGTGTGTGTCTGTGTGTATGTTTGTGTGTGTGCGTGTTTGTGTCCCATATGGTGCAGTGGTATGTGCAGTCTATTTCCAATTGAGAGGCTGCGGGTTCAATTCCCGACGATTATGGTCGCACACGTCTTCTTCTTTTTCTCATTCTCCTAGCTCTTCTTTCCTTCTCCTGGGTGGTTACCAACAGCCAGTGTATGCCGGAGTATGTGATGTGGTGTGTGTGTGTAAAAAAATGAATGAAACAAATTTGAAAAAATGAAAAATGAAAAATAGGGATTCACTGGCCAGAGAAAGCCACTTCAAACAGCTGTGTGGTGGATACCAGGCTAAATTAGTGGTGGTAAATTCATCAGCCTTGCAAGCTGTTGAATGGTGTAATCCTAGCACGAGTTGCTATGTGTAGCTGTTCGCTTTCATCGCTTCAGCGATGGGCATGTCTGAGTCTGAGTTTTTGTGTGTGTGTGTGTGTGTGTGTGTGTGTGTGTGTGTGTGTGTTTGTGTGCGTTTGTGTGTGTGTGTGTGTGTGTGTTTGTGTGTGTGTGTGTGTGTGCGTGTGTGTGTGTGCGTGTGTGTGTGTGTGTGTGTGTGTGTGAGTGCGTGTTTAAGGTCACAGTATGTTATTGAAAAGAACGCATGTGCTTCTAGCTAGGGCCTTGTACAGAATTGAATCTTGTTAGAGATTTTTGTGAATATGGCTGCTTGGTGTGTCACCATAGTTTGTTGATGTTGTTGTTGCTGCTGCTGCTGCTGCTGTTGTTGTGGTCGTGGTGGTGGTCGTTGTTGTTTGTACTTCTCCAGATCCAGACAGCCTTCTACTTATTCCTTGCCGCACTCTGCAAGGCCTTATCGCCAGTGGTCGAGAAGCAGTACGAAAGAATTGCCAAAGTAACACTGGGCTGCCTGGAGAAGACTGACAGTAGAGTGTGCCGGCCACTGTGGGAGACTGTGCTGCTACTGGTGACCAAGTTCCCGGTAAGCTGCTCAGTGTATTGATGTGCGTTGCGCGCACATGCCTGCTGTATGACCATGAGGACATCCTACTCTGTGTGGGGGTATTAATGTACTTTTTAGACACCCGGTGTTTTACCAGTGTGAAGTATGTCATCTAGGCCTATTCTACTCACCACCTGACATGTACATACATGTACTACATAGTATCACAGGGGTGGTAAGCAAAGAAATACTATGCAGTACAAGGGGAGAGAAACAAAAGGGAAGGGGGAGGGGTGAGAAGGCAGACAAGAGGGGCTAAAATATAAAGTGCCAAAGGCAAACACCGAAGACACCCTACATTCATAATTATTAACTAGTTGGGCAACTAGTGTCGTATCGTAAGCAATTCGAGAGATATTACGTTATTCTTTTGTTTGCATACTGATGGTATAGAAGAGAAATGGTGGACACACACACACACACTAGCCTGAATAGGGGTAAACACACACACACACACTAGCCTGAATAGGGGCAAACACACACACACACTAGCCTGAATAGGGGTAAACACGTAGATTTAGGATGTTGCATTCGAGTGAGTGTTCACATCATTCTACTGTTCTGCTCCATCCTTGTTTTTGTTTTTGTACTCATGCTGCTTATGCGTGATGTGCAGCATATCTGTGGATTTGCTCTTGTGTTCATGCGCTCATGTATTGACTGGTTGTTTTCCTGCAGGAGTGTTGGAATAGCATCAGCCCAGAGAAGCAAGTGTTCCCAGGTCTGTTCAAAGTCTTGTCATCGGATAGTGCTGCAACACTGAGTAGTGTGGTTCCCAACATTCTACCGTTCCTCAGTGCCGTACCCAGACAGGTATGTAACACATCCTATGGTACAGAATTCGTACTACAGATCCATATAGGTTACTGGTTACAGGTGCATACTCCATGTAGGGACAGGTATCCATATGTATACATATATGTAGGTACCGGTACATACTGTTACACACGGACGGATATGTAACAGGGTCCTAACAGATCCGTATAGGTACAGGACTACAGGTACATACTGCTACATACAGACGGGTATGTAACAAATCCTAACATCCATAGGTTGCAGGTATGTACCACTGCTTGCTAGCTGCGTGTTCATGTGGACAATTAACCGTTGTTTTCGGCACAACAGAACAATGAAGCAAGGCTAGGACCTGTGAACTAAGCTTCATTCTATTCTGTCCAATGAGCAATGCAACTTGAGTACATGTGGGTAAATATACTGTCACTGTGGGCTGTAGAGGCAAAAGTGTGAGATAAGAATTCCTTTTTCTCTCTTGGTTGTTGATGTTTGATTTGCACGAAGTCAACATTGTACTCAAATGTTGGTCCGTGTCGCTGTCAGGGTCTTTGAACTATTTTGGTCATCCTTTGTGTTCCTCAGCCGCACATGCGTAAATCGGTTTCTTTTGCTTACGACTCTGGCCTACATGTTTTGGATATTTCTGTGTGTCTTCTTGGCTGTGCCTGCAGCTCATTGGAGAATACTCGCCATACGAGCCAGTTCCGAGTTTCTTATCGCAATTCTTTCAGAGCCTCCGAGACAGGTAAATAAGCTATGTGAAATAGTGTTCGTTGTGACAGACATGTGTGAGTGTGGCAAGTTACTAAATGTAGATTCAAGTTGTGCCGGTATTGGATTTTCCCCACTGTTCCTCTTTCTAATATTTATTCTTAGTAGCAGTGGTGAGGCTTCCTGCAGCTTCATTCATAGGAAAAAAAGGTTTCAGAGCAGACTCGCTCTCTTCCTCTTGCAGAGTGAATGGGAAGAGAGCGAGTCTGCTCTGAAACCTTTTTTCCTAATATTTATTCTGTCGCGAAGTCTGAAGAAAATGTTGAACGGCCTCTGCTGGGATGACGACTACACCATAGCTCAGTGGTTAGAGCATCGCTGGCTACAAGCGAGGGTCCCTGGTTCGAGTCCTGGTGGTGACAGTCAATTTTTTCTTCAGACTTTTCCCGTTTGTCTCTTTCCCTCAAACCAGTTCATATTTATTCTGTCGTTAGAATAAAAAACATTTTAATAGCTTCTGCAGAAATCGATACCTAAGCTGTTTGCTAGTGGGCGTTGAGAATGAGTGAGAATCGTTGCCTTTGGCACACGTAAACCAGTCAATTTTAGGAAATTGTTATATCTGCTGCTCGTTAGACTAATGGGCTTTTACAGTAGTATGTTGTGTGTTGCCCGTGGCTTGGCTGTGCAGTTTCTACAGTCGTCGAGTGGATGATGCTCATCGGCGGAAGGCTGTGGAGTGCTACCTGGTCTGCTTACGTTACACATTGCTTCAAGTGCCGTTTGCTGATGAAGTGCGCAATGACGACATCACCATTGCGGAGGTGTCTTCAGCACTTCTGGAGGCCCAGGTAACCAGTGTCAACACAATGAAAAAGAGGTGTACATGTTTATTGTTATGTGCTACATGTACATGTACATGTGCTGCACTACACTATTGTTTATATGCACTTTCATGGTGCGATTGCTTGTGGTGGGTTGACTATGACGCTGCTGTTTAGGAGCATCCCCAGCATCGCAATGTTTTGTCCTTTTTGTTATCGTCCATCAACCCCAAGCGCATGTGCTACAGGTGTGTCGCTGATCCACTGTTTTGCGTTTTGTGGTTCGCTTCACAGCTGCTGCCTGTGGTGGAAGCAGCCTTCGCCAACCGGATTCCACCCACAGTGCTGTTCGACCCTCTGAACAGCTTCTTGAGGCGGCTCCTGAAACGCATTCACAACGACACAAGCAGAATTCCACCAGGTTAGAAAAACACTTCATGCTTGAGCATTACTGGGAGTGAGCTTTCCTCCTTTCTGTTTGCAGCTAAAAGGCAGAGGATTCCACTTGGGATATTCCTATGTGTGCTGCTGTATTTAGGTCTTTGTGTGTGTGCGTGCGTGCGCGCGTGTGTGTGTGTGTGTGTGTGTGTGTGTGTGTGCCTCCTGCTCTTTGTTGGTTCGGTGGAGATTGAAAGTGCTGATTCCTTTGTGTATCTTCTTTCGGTGATAACGGCTAACACCCGCTCATCTGTGCGTGTTTTGTGTTATTATACTTATAGATGATGAGGCAGGTACACCACGGCTTTCCATGGATCTCCTGCCAGAGGTATTCTGGGAGGAGATGGAGGCGCTGTTGTCCATGGAAGTTAATCGTCCCGGCCAGCCAAAGGTAAATCAACAATGGTAATGTTCGGAACACTGGGTCTTTCCAACTGTGCTTTCTCGATGTACTGTATTTTTTGGAGTATACGCTGCACCCAGATTTTTGTCCAGAAATACAGACATTTACCCTGTATTCCACATTTACCGTGTATTCCACATTTACCGTGTATTCCACATTTACCGTGTATTCCACATTTACCGTGTATTCCACATTTACCCTGTATTCCACATTTACCCTGTATTCCACGGTTCATTTGACCATGGTAGTAAAGTATAAACTGCACCGACTTTTTTTGGTGGATTATGTCATTTATGTGTGTTTGTAGTGCGGCTTATACTCCGGAAAATACTGTACACGCAGTGTCAACTAAGTAGTGAGGTTTATGCACAGTGAGGACTATCTCTTAGGCTTGGCATGGTAGGAGTTGGTGTAGATTGTTCCTGCAGACGTGTTACGTTTCTCTGTTTAAAAGATTCAGAGTGTGGAAACCAGCAGTAACGAGTATGCTGAGGTATTGCCTTGGGTACATGTTCTCCTGCCTTCAAACATCTTGGTGTCTGTTGTTGTGCTTTAGGCACATTTCCACGTGTCCAATGCCTCAGTGCGGAATTGCAATGGCTGTCTCCCTGCTGGTGTCTGTGTTGATTTTGCTATCTAGGCGAAACTGGACAAAGTCAGTATTCTTCTGGTGCGACTGAGCACGTCTCTTCGTGACGAGGGTCGTCTATCAGTGCACGCTATTGGGTCGGACCTGGATCCAGCATTTGAGCCACTCCACGGTCTGATTGCTGATGTTGCCACCTCGGCACTCGCCTATTCGTACGAGCATGGCTCCATGGATCACCTGCGCATCTTCTCCTGTATTATCCGCACGCCTGTGGGTCACTCAGTTCTGAGGTACGCGCTCTCCAACCCATCCGGCTACGACTACATCACAAACACTCAGAGCAAGTATCCTCACATCCGTGTCTTCACCGACTTTGACGACATGGCCAGCTGCCCAGCGGATCACGTTGCCGAAGTGTTCCTGCAGTGGGTGGTCTTCCCCTGGTTGTATGAGAGTGTGAAGTGTGGCGAGGAGCAGAGCCTGGCACGCTACTCATCCATGATCAAACTGTGCCTTGTGGAGGTCGCCTTTGCCATCATACTGCATGCGCCCTCCACACAGCGCGTAGACCTGCTGAACGAGATGTGCCGCATGTGTGGCCAGAATGTCCTCGTGCTCTGCGCAATGATCCGCCAGGCCGTGCTCTGGCTGCAAGACCAGGACAATGCCATATTCGTGCAGGATTGGCTCTCCGGAGAAGAGCTAGGTGGCTGTCTTGTGGTACTGGTGTGGAAGGCGACCAATGCTGCATCCCCGCCTTTGGCCCTCTCGGCTGATTTAACCATCTATGAGGGTAGTGAGGTGCCAGACAGCAGTATCTCAGCTGAGTTGTCTATTTGGCACAGCGTACACCTGCTACTACGGCCCGGCTCGGGAAAAGGTACACTTTGACGGTCTCCGCTGTACATGTACATGACTGGTGTTGGTGTCTGCAGTAGCATCTGTTACTGCTTTTCAGTCGAGTGCTGCTCGCTGTTCTGGAGCTAGCTGTGCTAGCTGGCAAAGTACTAGTATGTTGGTAATGCATGTACATACTGATAGATGTAGACAAGCATTGTCCCATTTGGAGGCAGGTCACTATGATGTGGACGATGGCATATGAGAGAGAGAATACGTCTAGGTATGGAGATCATGTGTAGAAGAATTGTGAGTAAAGCTCTGGTTCATGTACTGCATGTGTTGCAGCACCCTTGAAAGGATGTGTGTTTCTCATTGTACTCTTGTGCTTGTTGGTCCTGTATTGTCTTCCTGCAGAACTGCTGATGTCTAGCGAACATGCAGACATTATCCTGAAACACACATGTATCTTGTTCGAAGAGTCGCTGCCGGATCGAAGCAAGGCGCTGATCGCCGCACTGCAATTAGCGCAGAGCTACTTTGATGGACTTGTGGTGAGCTATGCACTTGCTTTCTGTTCGCAGTCGCAAGGAGTTGTAGGCGTATTATTAATATTATTATTAATACATTTTTCGTACTGTTGAACGGACCATGATCTGAGTCCTGCAATCGGTAGCCCTGTAATATGCCGAAGTGCATGTTGTCCTTTCACAAGGCTGTTGGGGATCTGCTGTAGTATTCCTAGGTAAAACCTCACAGTTGACTTTGCTGGTGTTGTTTACGCTTGTAGGAGGGTGGAACTATGTTGAAACATGCTAGCTACCTGATGATGACAGTGTTCAAGGCCACCTGTGATCCTGACCCATCATTCAATCGTAAGTGACGGATGTTCAATGTGATGTCAGGCAATGAAGGATTCGGGCAGCTAAGCCAATTGGCGTCTGTTAGGTTTGTTCTCTTAATTTGGATGCTGGACAGCTTGGAATATTCATTTAGCCCCCCCCCCCCCCACAACATGCTTCTGAATCTGACAGCTTGACGGTATTGTGTTGCTGACTAGAGTACCTGATACTTGTTGTCTATCTGCAGCGAAAGTCATCACTCATATGCGCATGGTTTGGAAGAGCGGCCTGACCCACTTTGCCCGTCAGCAGCCTCAAGAGTGCCTGAAATGGGTGGAGGAGGTGTCTAACTGGGCACATGATGTTCTCCTATCATCTGCCCTGACCACTCTCTCAAGGTACTTAGTACGAACTACAGTCAAATCTGCCGTAAGCGACCGCCCCTTGGTGCAAGAAAAAGCGGCCTCTTACGGCAGATGGTCTCTTACGGCAGATGTATGGTAAATCCGGCATACTGGGTATATGCTTCCATGTACTCAAGTCGACGAGAGTAATGTGATTTTTATATCATTTTATTGGATATTCAACGAAGACCATACCCGTATAGTACGCGTATGCGACACGGCAGTAGATCGACGCTGCCTGGACTTGAGAGCTACAGCACAGCCTCAGTACAGGCCAGGGCCAGTCGATCGCACTTGCAAGACAGCGCATTTTCACACCTTGCAGTTGACAGCGCACTGGCAAGTACAGTTTCGCACCTGACTGAACGTGGGTCGCCGTCGCTTACAGCAGATTTGAATGCATCCACCGTGCATGAAATCGCGGTCGCTGGTCGCGCACAGCAGATGGTCGCTCTGGACAGATCAGTTTGTGTGTGAAACCGTCGGTGCACGGAAAATCGGTCGCTAACGGTAGATGGTCGCCTACAGCAGAGGTCGCTAACGGCAGATTTGACTGTACTTGCACAGCAACAACTCGCAGCTGACTATTTAGAATAGACTTCGCCATGGGCAGATGATATAGGCTGCGTTCGTTTTTGTCTACCTGGTAGAGTAGAGCGGATGTTGGAAAAACACAAAAAAAATACGGTAGATAGTAGTTTACGAACACAGATCTACCTATTCCGGTAGATGGTCGATTTTACAGGACGATGTACGATATTTCATGCTATTGGTCCCTATAGTAGAGCAAACTGACTGCTCGCCTGCCTACCTGGGAAGTAGTTTCATACATGTATCTGATGCAATCTGAAAATCAATACATGTACTTCAGTATACTGGTAATACTGTGGAGAGGAGTGAGAAATGATGCTCATCAGTTCAATTTGTTGTCTGTTTCGCCTCACATGCAGTTCGCTATTTGTTGTCTATTTTGAGTATTTCCCCTCACTTTTAATATAATAGATTGGCTGTGTTGTGTCTGTTTGCATCACGTTCAGTTGGCTGTTGCTTGGTTGAGGACTCGCTGGCCTTTCTCAGGTGACCATCTGCTTATTGGGCATATGTTCCTTACATAGGTACTTGTGTGTGTGTGTGTGTGTGTGTGTGTGTGTGTGTGTGTGTGCGTGCGCTCGCGCTCGTGTGTACACGTCGACTATATATTTGTTTGTGCAGCGTGAAGGAACTGGCAGACACGTTGATCTTGGTGCTTGAACTCACAAGGGCAGCAGGGCTGGACACACCCCTCCCTGCTCGTCTTGCTGCACTTGTGCCAAACAAGGAACGCTGGGAGCTCGCACGTGTGTTAGCTGGCAGAAGTGTAAGTCAGAGAAAATTGTCAATTTTATGCATGGGGTCCTGGTGGCCAGTTTGGTGTGAGGAGGATGGGTGGTTTATTTACTGTTTGAATGCAAGTAATTTGGAAGTATATGTACAGAGTTACAACTAAATCTTCATTCTCTTCTTCTTGTTGATGTGGACTATTCTAAAAGAAATAATAGTACCACTGATCAACTGCCTTTGTTTTGCAGAACCTGCATGGCTGAGTGTGATTGTGCTGTGGCTGCTTGTGTTGTACCATTGGGGACATGAGTGACTGTGCTGTGGCTGCTTGTGTTGTACCACAGGGGACATGGGTGATTGTACTGTGGCTGCTTGTGTTGTACCATAGGGGACATGAGTGACTGTGCTGTGGCTGGTTGTGTTGTACCACAGGGGACATGAGTGATTGTACTGTGTCTTGTGTTGTACCATAGGGGACATGAGTGACTGTGCTGTGGCTGCTTGTGTTGCACCACATGGGGCATGAGTGTGAGTGATTGTGCTGTGACTGCTCATGTTGTTTCACAGGGGACCTGAGTGATTGTGCTGTGTTGTTGTTTCACAGGGTACGTGCACTGGTAGTTTGGTGGACGGCTCTCTGTCTCTGTTTGAGCTCATCCCGGACAGCTTCCCGTCGGCGTCCGAGCTGAGCACGATGCGCCGCATGTCGGCCAATAAACTGTTCAGGCGGCGATCAAGCGATGCTGCTGTGCGCCGTGCCAGCCATCCAGCTCCATCAGTTCACACCCAGTGTTCTGTGTTCACCTGCCAGCTGATTAGTCAGTATAAGCAGCTGCTGATGCGTGAACACCAAATGCAGGGTGTCAGCAGGTATGTTTGCTCTGCGTGTTCTCGGCTTTCTTGCACTGCTTTGCGGACAATAGCAGCAGCTGTGGTGCATACCGATTTCGGCCTGCCGGGTTCTTACTAAAATGGAATCAGATAAGAAAAAGTCATGGGGGCTGAGAATGCAAGGAAGTCTCTCCATTTATTTATTTTATTTTATTTAGTCACTTGGCACTAGCCAATAAAAAGGTGATGTGAGTGGTAGAGGAGAGAAAGAAAAAAATGAAAGGGGAACTGAAATGTACGAGAAGCTAGGTGAGCAAGGGCAGGGCTGGATATCAATTAGTACCTTGCATTCTGCAGTAGCTATATGAATGTCTTGTAACATTGGCTGGATTTTAGATCTTGTGGGAGGAGAAACCAGAGGTGGTTAGCAAGGAAAAGGGGTGATGTTTGCATAGAGGCAGACCGCGCAATAGGGAAGCGGAGAGAGTTTCTGGTGTGTATGTCTTGAGATTTAACAAACCAGCTTAGGCAGGAAAGAGCATGAGGAGGAGCAATGCCCAGCTTATTTTTATGAATTGCCTGACAAGACAAAAATCGTAGGCGAACAGATAGCTGCACAGCGTAAGCAAGGCGGTATAAATCTGTGCTTGGAGTCAGGCGGGGAAGCCGAAATAATTTTTTCAGAAGACGCCTATGCATAAATAGGGCTTGAAAGTGCTACGTCACAGCATAGCAACAATTTCAAAAATTCAAAAAACTGGATCCACTTGTATCCAGTTTTTGTATGGATCCAAGCACATTTCAAGCGGTCTTACTAACAGCAAGGTAATGTTACCGGTGAAATTGACTGGGTTGCCTATTGGGGGGTGGGGTGACAATTGGTGGCGAAGAAAAAGTCATACCTGCATACAACATGCGTGGGTTGCTATGCACCCACACACTGAGGCAATAGCAAAGTCACACCTTAGTGGATCCAAAATAGAAATCTGGTGTCAACTTACTACTCCCTGGCCATTTTTGACGTCATCACTTTCAAGCCCTATTCTAGTCGAGTGATCAGTGTTTTAGAAATGCCAGCCCAAATTATGCAGCAATAATGAAAAATAGGCAATAATGAAAAATAGGCAATAATCAAAAATAGGCAATAATCAAAAATAGGCAGAAAAATAGGCAGAATATAAGAGACAATGTACTGTAAACCGCCCAATGTTTGCGTCGCTAATGTTTTTGCGATCTCTCAGAACCAGTGAGTTTGCGATGGCAAATGGTCGCAGATCACCGTGGCCACACTTATACACCCACTGTTGAAGTTTGATTTCATGATGGGTAATATTTGCGTTATGCTCTTCTCGCAACATTAGCAAACACGTCGCAAACATTAGGCTGCTTACGGTATTCATTGGTTTGAGGGAAAGATGCAAACGGGAAAAGTTTGAAGAAGAAAAAATTGACTCTCACCACCAGGACTCGAACCAGGGACCTTCTTTACCGAAGACAATGCTGAAGAGAATTGCAGAAGGTGCTGCTACTTCATGGAGTGAGGGCAGGGGGTCGATATACTGCACCAATAACCAACTTCTTCATGTGAGAGGTCTGTGGGAAGTGAGGGATATTGAGATCAGATCGATGAGTGTTGTTTGGAAGCATCCCAGATCTTACCAAGATACAGATGCTGCTGTATGCATGGATGGCACCTGTAGCTGGCTTGTTCTCATTTGGTGGACGATCTCGGCGAAAACAGTCATAGCCAGGGATTGTGAAAGACGACGGTGGAGAGAGCCTTATTTACGTTATGCACACAATGGGAGGTTTAGCTGTGGAGCGTATGTGTTGCGCCGCACGCGAATGGTACCGGCGAGCACGTTTGGTGATTCGTTCACTGGTGTTGGCTTGATGTATCCAGATGTTACAGATCTGGCGATTGGGTCGTTACCTTCCGCCAAACGGGTATCAGTGCGTGTACCATACACTGTGCTTGACTGCCTGGTACTACTTTGTGCAGAGGGCTTGCTCTCTCGGTAGTTGACAGTTTGCCATTCTGAGTTTGTTCAGGGCGTTGTTGAGATTCCAACAAAAGTGAAGTAAGAAACCAAGAAATGAAGAGACAAGGAAGACAATCCTGTGACTACTCGTCGAATTCAATATCCAACAGGACCTGTGAATTTTTGCCTTGGCCTCGGCTCGTTTCCGTGTTGCAGGTCTGACGAGGTATCGACAACAGACTTGCACCATGCTGGGTGACAACACAATGGCTACAATTCGGCACGAAAAACGATTAGGACAACATTAGACAGACAATTAGGACAAGGACCTCACAAGACAAACCAATGGGCGGTGTGGACAGACAGGACCACGACGAGGGAACACATGACGAGGACGACGATTGGGTGGCTGGCCAGTCCAGTTGCGATAAGGCGCGTGGCGTGGCATTGTAGGTAATGAAAGGCGGTGGAGTGGCAGAACGTCGGCATCGAAGTAGCGGTGTCGAGTAGGGCGTACCGGTCGTGGTTGCGGGCATGGTCGTTGTTGTTTTCGGTGGTTGTGCTGTATGTGTCGCCGCGGTGGCTCAACGCCTCGTAGAGTTAAGCGCCGGCGGATTGCCGTAATGAGTTCCTCCGCCGAGGGAGGCCGTGGCGCAAAGTCGAGGTGGCGACACGCGGCCACCTCGAGGTATCGACAACAGACTTGCACCATGCTTCGTCTCCCGTCATTTCCGTCCTTTCCTCATAAATTCCACCTATATCATGTCGTAAACAAAAGTGAAGTAAGAAACCAAGAAATGAAGAGACAAGGAAGACAATCCTATGACTACTCGTCGAATTCAATATCCAACAGGACCTGTTGGATTTTGACCTTGGCCTCAGCTCGTTTCCGGGGCGCATGTCTGGCGAGGTATCGACGACAGACTTGCACCATGCTTCGTCTCCCGGCATTTCCGTCCTTTCCTCGTAAATTACACCTAAATCATAAAAGTCGTAAACAAAAGTGAAGTAAGAAACCAAGAAATGAAGAGACAAGGAAGACAATCCTGTGACTACTCGTTGAATTCAATATCCAACAGGACCTGTGAATTTTTGCCTTGGCCTCGGCTTGTTTCCGGGGCGCATGTCTGGCGAGGTATCGACGACAGACTTGCACCATGCTTCGTCTCCCGTCATTTCCGTCCTTTCCTCATTTACGAGTGTTAAATTCCATGACAGAGTACCTGCATGATCCGCATCAAGAGAGAGAGAGAGAGAGAGAGAGAGAGAGAGAGAGAGAGAGAGAGAGAGAGAGAGAGAGAGAGAGAGAGAGAGAGAGAGAGAGAGAGAGAGAGAGAGAGAGAGAGAGAGAGAGAGAGAGAGAGAGAGAGAGAGAAAGTTACATTTATAAAGACAGGTAAGTCTAACAAATGAGGACTGAGACCTGTACAACAGGGTTTTTACGCCTGAAAGCGAGAGAGAGAGAGAAAGAGAGAGAGAGAGAGAGAGAGAGAGATAAGGGAGATAGAGAGAGAGAGACAGAACCAGACAGACAGAGAGAATGTTACATTTATGATGGCAAGTAGGTATAACAGATGAGGATTGATACATCGAATCCAGGTATTTAATGCATGAAAGCAAATGTAGGATTTAAATATTGTCAGTCTAAAATTTCCATCCTTCCCTCACACCAATGAATACGGTAGTCTGAAATTTTGTGAACAATTGCATCATGAGTGAGAGGGATTGAAGTTATAGGAGAGTGGGAGATTGAGATATGGAAGCCAACCTGCCTGTTTGTTCTTCGACTCTAAATAAACAAACAAACAAAAAACCCACTTACTTATCATACAAATCAAAATATTATTAAAAGATGACTTATTATGCATATCAAACGGGACACCAGCGTACCTGCCAATCCCAAGAGTCTCGGACTGTGAAAGTTGCATCCGCACCCTACACACATAGTTAACCATATTGTCAATTCTGTGAGTAGTAATAATTCTTTGTTGCCATCTGTGAGTACTATTGCATTTTAGGAAAGGTGTTTGCTCTAGGCCTAGTTTGCTCCCCACACCGGAGCTTGCGCTTTTCCGTGGGGAGCAAACCCATGTCCTATGTAACCTTTGCCAAAGTCGCTACCACGATCTCGTAGTACTGTATTGCATTTTGTTAACCCTTTAGACCTGTTGCGATCGAAATCGATCGTTTCATATACTGTCATCGAGTGTGTGTTCAACGGATCGTAGCTCGGTCAATTCTCAACCAAATTCAGCAAGCGAAAGCCCTAGATGGTAGCAGAGATGACCAGGAGTCAGCTCGAACCACTCCCAACTCCCTAGGATGAAGTTTGACGAAGCGGCAAGAGATTGAAAAATTCACTTTTTCTTGCGCTGGATGATTTCCTTTTCTTTTTTGCCCGAAAGGGGTTTTTCCCTGCGCCGGCTTCAGGCCCACGTAAATGTGTGACATCACATACAGGACTGTGTAGCATGACTTACTGTATCTTAGCTGAAAAAATTGATTGACTTTGAGCGAAGGACAATGAAATGGTGGTGGGATCGATATCTTCCTTGTCAAGATCGTGTTGTGGCTGCTTTCCTGGTGTACTGTGGCGGACAACTATAGATATCCATGACGAGTTTGGGCTCGTTGTAACCCTCTCTCCATTAGGTTTCCAACGAGCAAAAGATTTGTCAAAAGGGTAAAGTAGAACTAATGTTGATGGAAAATCGAACGATGTGTACTGAAACGCAGGAATCGTCTTCTTGTTGTCATTTCAGTGGAGGCCCGAAGGGCTAAACACCAGCCATGTATAATTTCACTTGGTGCTTTGCATTGCCTTTGCTGTCACTGCGACTATTGTCACTGTCTTTGATGCTCCTTTGTCGTCGTTGTTGCAGCACTGAGCCATTAGCAGTGGAAATGCTTGAGAGAGAAGTGTTGTCTGGTTTCTACAAGGAACAGCTAGTTGGGCTGTGTACAGAGCTGACCTGGGACATTCAATGGCTGTATGGTGTACCGCGCATGTGTCGCGAACTCTACAATCTGGTAAATGATTTTGTTCATTTGACTGCCGTCTTGACTTGGGGATTTAAGCTTCAGTTTTCATCATCATTCTCTATTTCTGTTAGGCTATTGAGCTCCTCACATTCAGGTATTCAAGTAGATACAGGCATGATCAGTAGATACAGGCATCGCTAATAGGTATAGGCATTGTCAATTGCCCTTGCTGTCTAACCCACCGTGTGTAAAATAGCGTTGTCATGGTTCCCTTTGGCACATGCTAAGGTGTACTGCTGCTTTAATATGATTATCTGACATGGAATAATTTACTTGAAGACGATAACTTTGATGAGGTAAAAAAATTGATTGAACGACGCAGTCTTTATTACGAACACACCACAAGCCAAGGCATGTCCACAAAATGTTTGACATCAGTTTTTCTATCTAAACGTTGCACGTTCTCTTTGTAATAATATTGCGTGTATCGAAATTGTGACTGCCCGGATAATTCTAACATTCTATTCATTGCTTTGTCTGATATTGCGTTCGCTTGTGCTGTCAAGCGCAGAGTTTTCTGTCTATTTCCAAGTTGTGTGCCTTTGGTGCAGATGGCCACTTGTCTATCAGCAAGAGTCCATAAACAAGAGTATGCAACTGTGATCTCTTTTCTATGGGCCAGATGCGCGGCGCGCTGCCTTCATTACATCATTCAGCTGCAGTCCGCGCACTGCGGAAAATCAAACACCGCACTTTTCCTCTGGTTTGAAATGAACTTTCGTACGGAACTGGAGTTCAAGCGCCAGAATTTAGAGATTGCGTTGGTACTGGAACGAATCGAGCAAAAACAGATGGGCTCGAACGAGAAATTGTGAGTTTGAATGCATGCTTTCAGAGCGTGATGGAGGCAAGTTACGTAATGAAGGCAACGCGCCGCGCACTGACCCATAACCACAGTTGCATACTCTTGTTTATGCACTCTTGCTATCAGTCATTGATCTGTATGTTGATGTTTGCATGTTTGCATGTTTGTCGATAACGTGCAGGATGACCCTGATGCCATCACTTGGGCGGTGAGTCTTACCAGGCATATGATAGGCTAGGCAGGAATCGGTTTGCCTTGACTTCCTTACACTGTTTTGCATTACGGTTGTGAAATTTTGAATGTATTACTCCTGCAGTTATGGTGAATTTCTATCACCTTACCATCACCTGTATTGATTATTTTGCTGTAGTCTAGAAGAATTTTCATTGAGCAATATTCTGGTGTTGGCATAAGCAGTTTTGTATGCTTGTTTTGTTTCTCTACTGTGGCTATGACTTTTGTCATTGGCACTACAGGCCTTGCCAATCCTGGAGCCAGTTGTTCCCCAGCTCCTGCGTGAGCTGAGGCACCGGCAAGCGCTATCGCAGGTGTTTGACACTGCCAAGACACAGTAAGCAGTGCCCGTCCTGTTGTGTTTGACACTGCCAAGACACAGTAAGCAGTGCCCGTCCTTTTCCATGCAGGCCTATCTTGCATGGGTCACGACTCCGAGTCTTCCATTTTCACGTACGGGTATCGTGTTGCACCTCATCTTTGTGTGTGTGTAGCTTATAGCTTAGTGACAGTTCATTTAACCAACTCTTGTTGTGCTTTGTTTTTCTTCAGTTCTGAGCAGAGCAAGTTGATCTGGGCTGCAGTGTTTCAGCGCATCTTGGAGGAGGCAGCTATGCTGGGCTTCAGTGTTGCGTCGTGTGAGCTTGGAGAGCTTCCTGAGCAGTACATGAAGTAAGGAACAGAGATGCTTGATCTTAACTTGTAACACTGCTTGCACACAAGCAGATCGTTGGTGTGTTAGCTGTGTGCAATTTTTCCACGAAGTGTGAATGTGTTCAGCTTCTTGTGCACCCTGTTCTGCCTCTGTATTCAATATGTACTCCCAAGTCCATTATAATTTTCTCAGTAGTTGCATTGCTCAGATCATGGTGCATGGCTCTGTGTAAGGACCTTCCAGTACTCAGCTGCATGTACAGCCCCCGAGTGCCAAGTGCATGCTGGGCTTGAACAGATCAGGTTAGAGGTATGCATCACTGGGTGCGTTCGATTACGGCCATGAATCGATTCATGAATGGAATCTCGTGCATTCAAGTCGTTCGATTTTCATGTCATGAGCCCGGGCATCGGTTCGTAATCGATTCATCCTATTCACATGGGGTGATGAGGATAGCCAGGGGTAATTCGTGAATGAATTCAAAAATCTATTCGTGGGCAAAATCGAACGCGTACTCACTGTGCTTGGTGTGCTCTCGTTGGGCTCTCGGTGGGTGTGGTGTGTCGGCGTGGTGTGTTGCAGGAAGGCCACAGTCACCGGTAATGAGCTGCGTACTCTGCAGGCGCTGCTGTCAGTGATGGGACAGCCTGGGTCACCGGTGGACCTCGATCACATCAAGTCCATTGCTGCTCAGCTGGAACAGACCATCTCGGGCATCAAGGCTGATGATCTGTGCAACACCAAGTCAGGTTAGTGCCTACGTATTGTACTCTTAGTCTATGATGCTCACAGTGGATGTGTGTGCACGTGGTTCTGTTAGATTTCCATGGGAAACTATTCTCTCTTCATATATAGTTGGGAGGGGGGGGGGGGGGGACAGGTATAGAATCTGCATAACATGAAGCCAACAAAGCACTTTTGTTGAACTGTTTTGTGCTGTGCATGGGGAAACGGGTGTGTGATTGGCACTGTGCTTGGACCATTGGCCTTACGAACGTCATGTTGTGTGTTCGACTCCCAGTATGTGCAAAGATAGGAGAGACAGACTTATTGGGAATGGGTGCCTGACTTGGGTTGGTGAGGCAAAGATGACAAGGGAGAGGACCTGAGCATCATCCTCACTAGGCCCAGCTCTTTGCAACATGAGGTCTCTAATACCACTTACTGCCCCACATGACCCATAGTTGGCTTGCTGGCTGTCTGGATGTCATTGCTGTTGGTCTGTTGGTCTGCTGTCGGTCTGTGTCCCCTATAGGAGCTATGAGTCCCTTGTGTGCATGTGTGTCTGCTCTGGAGTCTATGTCATCCAATGGAAACAACACGGCGGACCCACAAATAGTGTCTCGCTTGATGAGTCAGGTCATGAAGTGGAGAGATCAGAAACCGGACCTATTCTTCTTCGACTGGTAAGTCTAACCAAGAGGCTGTATTTCTTCTTCACTGTGCCAGTTTTCTTGGTTTGTGTGTACCCGTGCGTTTGTGTGCACGTGTGCGTATGTGTGTGTGTGTGCATGTGCGCGCGTGCGTGCGCGTGTGTGTGTATGTGCGTGTGTGCATGCTGTAGGGCCGGGGGCATACACATTCCCCACCGTGCTGTACATACTTTATGATTCTACTTGTACCAAGAGTAAAATTAATAAGCTCCCAAGAGTGTGCAACTCTGCATATGGGATCGCCGACGGCGAAACTAACGTCGTGCGTTCCGAGTACCACGTACAACGAAGTGAGAGGTCAGCGTGCACGCAGTCCAAATATCTACCACGATCTAGCTGATGACTCACATAAGCTGAGTGGGTTTCACAGGCTTTCTGTCACTCTTGGTAGCTTTTTTCACTCTTGATTCTACACATTCTCTACGGTGTACACAGTCGGTTATTCCATTTGTCTTCTTTTATTATATGTGTGCCTTCTCCCGTTCAGTGACCTGTCAGCTACTCCAACCAATCACATTGCAGCTACCATGGAGATAATGCGGCTAGTGCAGGTGGCGGTGGGCTATTGTCCTGAAGTCTTGAGCGATGACCAGTGGGACTTTGTCCTCTGCTCTTTGCTGGCTTGGTTCCAGGTGAGGGTTGAAAGTTTGCTGACCCAGCATCTGCTGCTGCTGCTGCTGGTACTGCTGCCAATGCTGCAGGTGTTTCTGTTAGTCCTTATGCACGTTACCCCCCCCCCCCCCCCCCCCCCACTGAGCGACAAAATAGTCGCGTACACCATGGGTACGAGTCTACCGACATGTGCTTTTACCCGTTTGGGCGTCCTTGCCAAGTCCTTGCGCTTCTTCCACTTCGCTTTCAGCACAAACTTCAGTCATGGTTGGCTTCCTCTGTTGTCATTTGTTGAGTTCTCAGGGAAAGCGATACATGTATTCCTGGAGCTTCTCTCCATGGACGTGATCCCAGTGTAAACAACACTCAGCTGCATACCAAGACACGACGTCATGCATGCCTATAGAGACCCAACAGTAGGGGTTGTCACTAGTTCCATGCATCACTCGTGATCACACAGGTACCTGTGCTTCTAATATGTGCTGCGTAAATCATTGTTCTGGACAGGGAAGCTATAGAGGGACTGGGAGGACTGATGGGGGACTTGGCATCACAGTGATGATGGCTCAGCACTGTGTAAAGCAGCAAAGTCCAGAATAAGCAAATCCCCAAAGAAACGAAAATTTAACGCTATCATTTGACACGCGCATGTGCACGCTTGCGCTTGTTCGTGGACACACCCTGCAAAAACATATGCAGACCAGCTCATTTCTTTAGGACTTTCCTCAACAGCGACGTCAACTTCTGCTCCTTCTAGCATTTTCTTTTCGCTGCAGAGTAATCGTCCTCGGTGGGATGGAGTGCGCAAACTTTGGAAGACTTATTGATTATGAAATCTTTGCTCATGTCTCGGCAATTTTTATGATCCACGCCTGATGCAGCTCCTGATCGGAAGGAAGCGATTGGAAAGAATTATCTTCTAGTGTTTCGCTGTTACGTGTGCACCGCAGAACACAGCAATGTTGCGGCATATCGACCTGCACGGAAGCAAAGAGAATTTAGAATCAAATTATCGCCGAAAATGTTGCACTTGACAACATGGGGTAATGTCTGCAACCTGCATAAGGACTATTGTGACTGCCGTTGCTGCAGTGTAATCATTGTCGTTGTTGTTTCTAGTACCAAGAGTACACACTCCCAGAGCGTGCACATCCTGCATGCATTGCTGCTCCGACAGAAATTAAAGTTGACCTACTTTTATGATGCGATGCTCCTGGTATGCGTGATTTCCGACGTTTGTGCAAAGATGCCAACGCATCACTCGTGTTTGCTTGCACGGAATTTACAGTAACTATTGGCGATGTGTCCCTCGCGTACCACCAAGAGTAAATGAGCTCCCAAGAGTATGCAGCACATGGGATCTGCGACTGCGAAAACTCACATCACGTGTTCCCAATAGGTTTTGTTCTACATGCAACCAAGGCCAGCGTGTGCGCAGTCCGACTGTCTGCCATGAACTGGCTAATGACTGGGATAAGCCGGGTGGGTTTCTGTCGGGAGTGCTAAATTGACTAGTCTACTTCTGGCTGGGAAACGTGCAACGGGAACACTACACCACGCTGTGTGAGTTTTTGCTGTCTGCGGACCCTGTAGAAAGGGTATCCAGGGGTTCACACTCTTCGGAGCTTATTTACTCTTGGTACCACTGGTCGGAACAGAGCTGACACTGGAGTTGCACACACTGTGTGTGTGGGGGGGGGGGGGGTATGTACTCTTCCTAGTGTGGGTGTAATACTCTCTGGAAATACACTTGTAAGGGTATTGATTATGCGTATTAGCACAGCGCAAGTGGAGGTGAAATGGCCAACACAGTGAAGGGTAATATTTTCTTGATCTGCACTGCTATTTCTACGGCCATGCTGCAGACGTGCCGTCAGACGCAGCCTCATACCATCAGCTACAGCGGCCTGCTCTCCGCTGCTGCCAGGAATGAGGGCTTGCTGCGATGTCTGCACTTCACCGCCTTCTGCTGCCACAGCAACAAGCTGCTCTGTGCTGTTGTGCGGCTGCTGTCCGGCCCAGAGGAGAATGTACCGGCTGCGCTGAAGAGCTCGTGGGACTCTTGGTGCGGCCATGCTGTCTATGCGGAGTTTGTGCCACTATTCATGGCATGTGCTGGTGAGTGGTGTATGAGTTGTATTGAGTGTACAGCAATTTATAGTGTACAAGCGTTATGGGATGTCTTTGAACGTGTACTATTTTCATATATCCATGCAGATTACATTGTATTCTCATCCCTTTGTCGCTGTATAGGAGCTAGGGTGTGGAGTCTTCTTCAAGTAAGTTGATTGCATTCTCCCCTCTTGGGCACACTTTGTGAAGGCTGTATTCCTGCTTACTGTTGCATTCTAAATACTCCTGATTACGATTGTGCCGTCCTACAGACACTGCTTCCGTCACACTGACTCTCGGCAGAGATCCCGTGATCACGTGTCTGCATCAGCTGCTGGAGCATCTTTCTCTGTCCATCTACCTGATGCCGTCGTGTTTACTTGAGGGCGAGAGTCCCGAGTCGACGCAGCTCTTGGCCATGCTGCAGGGTCAGCTTGATGAAGATGCTTGCCAAGGTCAGGACATGGTCAAGGAGATGGCGCGGCGCATGAGCATGATCAACCCAGTTGTTCCCGTTCTGGGTGGCTCCTTACCGTCGCTGCTCCTATCACCGAGCTGCTCTGTTCAGGCTGCGGCGTTCTTCACGATCTGCAAGTAAGCCATTCTCTTGTCGCCTGGGGCTGTGGCTGTGTGCTCCAGGCTGTGGCTGCTGTTGCTACAAGTTGTTGAATCACTAGAGGCCTGTACTCACTGTGTACTGTGTTTAGGCATTGGGCATTTGTAGCTGTGCTGCTGCGTTTCTGTGTGCGTGTCAGGCGGTGCAGCTAAATAACGTTACTAACAGAAATATTCCCCTGGTTATACTCGTTCTAACAGTGATAACTTCCCCCGGTTATGCTCATTCTAACAGGATGGTGCCTGCTGTGGTAAAGAAAGCAAGTGACCGGTTACAGTCGGCCAGAGCCGAGGGTAATGAAGGCAGTCTTGTGTAAGTTCATGCTCTAACCAGCCAATCTTGTCTTGTTTGCTGTTCTACTCAAGTATTGCCGGTCGCAAAGTGTTCATGTACTACAGTAGTTGGTGAAAAATTCTTTTATCGCCATTCCTGTCTGTCTGGTTGCTAGTCTTGCCCATACATGTACACCTAGTCCCATTCCATTGTGTGTGGGTGTAACCATTGCTGATTGCTCTCTCTCCCTCTGTCTCTCTCTCTCTCTCTCTCTCTCTCTCTCTCTCTCTCTCTCTCTCTCTCTGTCTCTCTCTCTCTGTCTCTGTCTCTCTCTCTCTCTCTCTCTCTCTCTCTCTCTCTCTCTCTCTCTCTCTCTCTCTCTCTCTCTCTCTCTCTCTCTCTCTCTCTCTCTCCCCCCCCCCTCTCTCTCATGGATCATGTGCGTTGTCCCACTGGTTAGTCACATTATTCGCCCATTTACCGACCACTTAATTTGCCATTACCCACCTGTAGAGTTGCGTGCTTTCTTTTGGCGGAAAGGCTTTGCTTGTCATTTTGGCTTCTTAGTTTTGAGGCTCTCCGCAACGTTTCCTTTCTCGTATCACTTACTCTACCCGGTGTGAATGTTTCTGGCTGTGTATTAGAACTCTTCCGGCTGACTTGACGGTGCTTATCGATGATCGGTGTGAAGAACTCGAGTCCTGGATCACATCCCAGCCAGAGCAGAAGCAGGGCAAGCAGGTGAACATACCGCGTGCTAATGTTGTTTATCGCACGACAAGTGGCTACCTGCTTGCGTGGCATCTTCTCCTGCTCATTCTCAACAGAGCTGGACCGGAGGTGAGGATGGAATGCAACTGAATATAAGTGTGCATGTGTGCGTGTGTGTGTGTGGGTGCTGTTGTGAGGGATTGTATGGTGCTAGTATGTACAGGTGCCTGACCACTGGAGTTGGTATGATCTTCTTTCTAAAATGCATGAAAAACTCCAATATCGCCCCTGCGGCTTAGACTCCGAATGCTGGATGTGAATCGACCAGCTCTACAGTACTACTGTACTACAGTACTCCATGCATATAAACAATACATGTATGGTGTCATTCAACTACTGGTTACTAAGTATGTACTGCAATCCATCATTGCACTAGCACAAAGTTTCTACAAGTTGTCAGTTCTGTGTGGACAAACTAGGCAACTTTTGTAGAATTTCACTCGTGCTTCTCCGCTTTTTAACCATTGGTAACGTCTTGTATGTGCCGATAGCCTCTAAGATCTGTTGCCAATAGAGTCAAAGTCTGACGTGCGGCTTATACGTCGAATATCAACGAATCTTGGGCCCAAGGGAGGGGGGGGGGGGGGCGTGCGGCTTAGACCCCGGTGCGGTGAACGCCCCGGAAAATATGGTATATGCTGACGGGTTTGATATCGTGCACGGGGTATGATATCTGTGTGTTTTTCCTCATCTTCGTGCCGGTGTGCAGCTTCGGGCTCAGTACGCGAGTGGTCTGCGTGATGGTACAGAGCTATCATCACTCATGAAGGTGCTGTTTGCGCTCATGCCCACGCAACCTCCACAGTCCATGCTAAAGCCACCGCTCGAAGTCGGTCAGCCATCTCGCAGTTTACCTGTACCATCTATGAAGTATGGCAGGATGGACCACAGAGCCAGTGAGTACATAAACGCTTTCTTTGAACTCGAGTAGTGAGCCAACGATTCATTTGTTCATTAATTTTATTCATTTCCTATTAACCCTTTAAGAGCCGCCCCATACTTGAATGCGTCGTAAACGACGCATTCAAATGCAAAACTTCAAAAGATCGTAACTCAGTCCAATCTCGCTCAAATCCAGTGACCGAAATATCCAGGGCGAAGAGAACACTCTCACCTGTCGGGAGAAGCAATCCGCGAAACGCTGCGAGGAACGGTTCCTGAGATCAATCACTCGTAAGTTGAGCCGCGATCGCGGCAATTTCAAAAGCGTGCAGTGCGACTTTAGTATTGAGAATTTTGAGACTTTTCGTCACGCTGGTTTACTCGAATTTGCACGGGTTTCACTGTTGATATTGTCAAGAGTACACAGCGAAAAAATTGGAACTCCACGATCGAGCAAAATGAAATATCTGGAGCGGGACGCAATTGGACGCATTTGGGGCATTTTTCGTACTGTCGCTGCGATCTAGCGCTGGATAGACGGTGTGCTGGTGATCATGATCGACCTCATTCTCTTTCTCTCGCGGAGACCTTTCCAGGAAGCCCTAGATTGTGAGGATTGAGTGAGTAGAACTGAAGCTATGATCCAAGGAACACGAAAAAAATGCAGAATTTTGAAAATTTCCTGTGGCTCTTAAAGGGTTAAAACTAAACAATCAATGGGACGCATGCATTGTTTTGCCGCCGTTTGGTTTTGCTTGACACATCCTATTGAATTGTGCACACTGTGATAAAGGTCTAGACCCGTGTGAACGTCATGACCTGCTGGTGCCTAACAGATATGAGGCATGTTGCCTCCCCCCCCCCCCCGAAAACGTGAAAAAGGCAACGGCCATCTTTGATACATACCTCCCATTGAAGGGTACCTGGCTGTTCAAGACGATTGTTAACTCATAAGAAATCCTCGATTCATTCTTTATCGATCTTGGTCAAGAATGGACTTTGCTTGGAAACCGATCACACAATGTAACTTCAAAAGGCCATTGTAAATTTGTTTAGTTATGCTGCAGCAAAAGGCTATCAGTGAAGGATGAGAGAAGCATAGATAGCCGTTTCAAATTCTGCCATGTCTGCGTGCAGTTACACAAAACACATTCAGAGTATGATATGGCCTGGTCTTACAACAACCATGGTACCACCTATACACTACTGTGCGCCGTGCTAGGGGAAATCTGACCCAGAGTGCAAAGCTGGCACCCTGAACCAGTTCACATCACATCACTGTGCATTTATACATGTTTTATACATGTACATACGTACATAGTCTACTTACCCGGCCGAATACACACACACAGTAGCCTGTGTGCACAGAAAGAGTGCTACGCACCAAACAAGCTATACACCAAGCAGCACTCATACAAGTACCAGGGTGTCAGGAGCCGTACAAGCCCGGTGTGCACTGGTACTCATTTTGGTGGGATTTCCCCTAGCGCAACTGTAGATTTGCATTAGCTGAGCTTGACGTATGCTTCAACAATCACTGCATAATGTATGTGTTTAAAAAAGTATTCATGACCTGCTATAATCGTCCTCCTACCCTAATGGTTGATGTACACCTCTGCGCATGCATGTGCACGTCTGTGTGTGTGTGTGTGTGTGTGTATGTGTGTGTGTGTGTGTGTGTGTGTGTGTGTGTGTGTGTGTGTCTCTCTCTCTCTCTCTCTCTCTCTCTCTCTCTCTCTCTCTCTCTCTCTCTCTCTCTCTCTCTCTCTTTGTGTGTGTGCCTGTGTGTGTATGTGGCATCTGCTACTACGCTAGCTCTGTGGTGGAACATCCCAGAGATGGCTTGCAGTCTCTATTTGTCAGCCATGCAGCAAGTACCTGTGCTGGTTCGCCAATGGTGGAACACTGTCGATCGTGGCTTCTATCAGATGGTGGAAAAGTGAGTGAACCTTCTGTTATTGCTTCAGCATATTCACATCATAATGAGTTCTCATCTCTGACCATCATGTCCTCATCCTGGTGTCATTCATCACCATTATGAATTTATGGTGTCACCCATTGCCATCATGATGTCATCATAACCTCTTCTTTACATATGTATGGTTGTTCACAACTGCTTGAATAGTAGGTGGGGCCGTACATGTATTGTCATGTTCTTTCTGCTCTCGTGCCTGGTATATAGATTCTCCACCCAGCACATCAGTCCCATCATTCTGGAACAGGAGATGAAAGCTTTGCAGTTGAATGTTCAGCCATTGGAGAACATGGAGGTATGTGCTTTGGGTTACCGGTAGATGTTCTTGCTCATACAGGGGAACCTTGGAAATTGGAACTACAACCACCGTTTGGGCTGTTTGCAAAGACAACTTCTCATTTCCATGGGAATATTACAATTCTAAAACTGACCATATTACCTTGTGTGGCACATATTTGACTTGAATGCAAGTATGTGACTGAGAATATTGTCTGTCTCTAACGTTCTTTATGCACACAATGACCAGTGAACGGAGAACTGATAATCTTTTTCTTTGGCTTCATCGTATTTTACACTCGCGTACACAGATCCGCCCTAGACCAGGTGCACGTGAAGTGCTTGCCGTCTATACAATGGAGGAGATAGTGGTGGAGCTGACCATTGAGCTGGCGCAGTGCCATCCGCTGCGGCCCGCCAAGGTGGAGTGCACCAAGAAAGTCGGCGTCAGGACGGAAGAGTGGCGACGCTGGCTGCTCCAGCTGACCACCTTCCTGGCAAACCAGGTATGGTTAAGTGTGTCGCTGCTGCTGCTGTCCCTGTCACCGTGATCTTCATTGCCGATGCTGTAGATGTCGATACTCGTGTTGTTCATGTTGCTGTTGGCTGTGACCGCTCGTGTGTGTGTGTGGGCTACGCGGTGCAACTGAATGGGTCTTTTCTAAATGACTTGGTTGGCTGCACATGAAGCTGTATTGTATAATGCACTAAGGTGCCATGCATCGTCTGCACATGAAGCTGTATTGTATAATGCACTGTCAGGTGTCATGTATCGTTGCCACTGTAGGGCTGAGTGTAGGCCTGCCTGCGTGCTTCTATCCAGGTCATTCTGAAACCTAGGTAGCCAGATCGGCAGGGTTGATTTGCTCATTTCCTTTGTACGTTAGTGTCAAGTCATCAACCTCAGAAGAAGAAGAAGAAGAAACAGTATACTAGTGTACTAGTGTCACAAATAATACCCCTGTATCCAGAGCAATCACTCCTTTGACAGCGTACTTTCAACCTTGTACGACGACTTCCCGAAATCGATATTTTCCTCCCGTCGGGCTGAATGTCATTACTCGTTGAGGTTTATGGCATAGGGTACACGGTGAACTTTTGTTTGTATTCTGCTCTTTACCTGTGCAATGTATCATGTGCTGTGCAATGTATCATGTGTGTATCATGTGCTGTGCAATGTATCATGTGTGTATCATGTGCTGTGCAATGTATCGTGTGCTGTGCAATGTATCATGTGCTGTGCTTTTTACAGAATGGCAGTATCCTGGACGGCCTTGCACTCTGGAAGAAGAGTCTTGATCGTCGATTCGAGGGCATTGAGGATTGCATGATTTGCTTCAGTGTGATACATGGCTCAAACTGCTCCCTGCCCAAGCTCAGCTGCCGGACATGCAAGAAGAAGTTTCACTCCGAGTGCTTGGTAAGGAGCTGAGTAACAGCGCTTGCAGTTATTTTTAAGCTGTGATAAATCGTGTCGAGTGGATGTGCACAGCATAATGTTTCACTACCATTCCATGTCCATGGCACAGTGCATGTAGTGACTGCTGCATGCCAAACACTTCTCTTTTCTTACAAGACGACTTTCACTGAAAAACAAACACCCCAGCCTCTTTTGCGGGCAAAATAAACACAATGAATTCTTGTGACGAAGGAAGTTATTATTTGTTGTGCTCAACTGAGGAAAACGTCAAGAATGTGGAGAACTTGATATGATTATTACAATCATGAAAGTGCCATACAGCATGTCCAAGGAAATTGCTAACCAGGCAAGCAGCACTCCGATACCACCAGCGATGCGGAGCCCGTCGACGTTACTGAGTGAGAGCGCCCGCGGTGGCCTCTGAGGCACGCAATGGCCGAACGAATCAGTGCAAATCAAAGCCGACACCTGACATAGGTCATAATGATTGAATATGGTTCCTTCTGCTCCTCGCAAATCTTAGCGGCAAGGCGCTTGTAAAAAAAGCACTAGGAGCCTTTCCTTGCCCTTCAGTGGCGCTGAACACCAGTGGTACAAACACAGCGTGTGCAACTTCACGCACACGCTCTTCATAGTGCCGCCGCTTCTCCCCTTCATGCTTGGTATATGTAGCGCAAAGGGAGTGAGCCTGCTTTGAGCTAGCGAAGGAGTTGAACACCCGAACATCAAAAGATAATAGGTTTGCTCGAACCGGCCACCCCACATTCCGCTGGCCACAATTTCAAGGAGAGTGCCGTCCTCCCGGATTGCAAACCGTTCTCCAGACAGCGGCTGCAGACCAGGCTCCACCACAACGTGATAGGCCACCTCATCCAGGAGACTGGCAGTGACATTCCGCAGTTCATTGGGTCTCATTGCAGGATAGCCTCTGGTCAGGCAGGATTGGGCGTGTAGCAGGCAGAACGCCATGCCACAGACACACTGCTGAGGCAGATGTGGCGGTGTCCAGCCATAGCGGACCAAGACACCGTCACGAAAGGCCTGCGTATGCAGCATCAGGCCATGCCGTCTGAGCGGATGGCATGTGAGCCAGCTGGACGATCCCTTTTCGAGCAGAGCAGTCGCTTGTGTGGAATGCTGTAAAGTGACGTTGGCGATACCAAACCCAGTCTGCCATGGTGGCACGGTAGAGCGAGGACCTCTCTCTCTCTCTCTCTCCAAAGCCCCAGGAGAGGCGCGTCCCAACAGGGCGGGGAGGAAGAACTTGGACATGACTTTCGCGACGAGCTGCAATGCCTCTACTGCACCGGGCATGGTGCGGGCGATAAACGACCACTTGTGGCGCAAGACGTTGGTGAAGACGGTATGCACTGCCTGGGGCTGGGTTGCAGCAAACACTGACAACTTCTCAACGTCTGCCGGTACAACTACACTCTTTTCTTAAAAGCAACGGGTCCGTCCATCCCCTAGGTGTGGGAGATGGTCTATTGTGTCATGCGTATCAAATTATATACTAGGAATGCTTTAGTTCTGGTCGGTGCGTTTGCATGTGTTTCCTAATAAAAATTCCGATCTCATCCGGTGACCGTACGCTATGCCTGTGTTTTTTCTTCTCTTGTGGCGCTCAGTACAAGTGGTTCAACACAAGCAATAAGTCGTCATGTCCACTGTGCAGAAATCTGTTCTGAGTTGCTACGGCGACACTGGCCGTATGTACCGGTGTGTATGTGCGCATCACACACCAAAACGTTTGACCTTGAATCGGCTGCTGTGCATGCATGTAGCAACAGCGCGCCTCTGACTAGTGTTGTGTAGGTTTCATTCATTGACTGATAAATGTTTTGCACACATCGTGATGGAGACTGCTCATGCCCTGACTCCACTGTGCTACATTAGGAGCTTCATAAAACCGTCTACTTGCATGTGTAAATAGTCATTGTCTATCTAGCTATTCTATAGTTTGATGATCTAGTTTACCACACTGGCCATATTTTCCCAGCCATAACTAGGTGACCCTCATAGCTTCCATGATATTTCACAATGCTGTGTGCTGTGCATCATATCTGCGTAACACACAACCTCTCAACTCTTCTACTTTGCTCACTGATCACAACACACATAATACTTAGGGCATTGCTCAAGTCTAAGCAGCGTTCGGTAGCCTACAGCCGCGTAACGTTCCTCGCTCGGTTGGTTTCCTTCAGTGCTCACTTATGATTCCAGTGTCTGGGCTGATCTTTTTTAATCCCCATATTTTTTTCATGCCTGGTGCGTGTCTCCCCTCGTACGATATTTCTGGTCCCAGGCGTATGTGTTCAGATAGGCTGGCTTGTGTAAAGGAGTACTACTTTCATGTCTCATCCCATCCTGTCGTCTGTCTTGCTTAGCACGAGACCACTGTTTCCACGTGCCTTTCACCTTTCCGCAGTCCGTAGCTCTTCTCTTTATTTTCCATTTTCCTGATGCTGCATGCGTAGCTTAGGTTTCTTTTTGGCCTGCTGTGTTTGTGTCCATCCTGACTAGGCTGCTTGGCCACTGCCGGTCTGTGCTTGATTCTTGCGTACACGACGACAGTACATTATGTACATTCATGTATTCTCTGCATTTCTATCTCTCTTACTGTGCTGTCTGCTGTATGCCGCGAGATGATTGCTGTATCATTCCGCTCAGTGCGATCCGTCCATGGAATGTAGACTTACGGTCATGTACAAGGTGTATGGGTTGTTCACACCACTACAAAGTAGTCACGATCATCCTGATCGACTTGTTTCATATACTGTAAAGTGAGAAACTTACTTTCGCTAGAGATTAAATTTCGCTATTTTCGCGACCATCACCAATTCGCGAATATAAATCACCGCGAACTGCTGTGCACATTGATTTTTGACTGTACAAGATCCAACTGAATACTAGACTATACTAGTATAGTAGAAGATGAGATCGCGAAAGTTTCTCATCGTGAACCAGCGCAATTCTTGAAAACGCGAAATTTGCGCGCCTCTAAAAACGTTTCACTGTACTCCCTAATGAAGCCCCAACTGGGCAAACAAATTGGAGGGAAACAAACCAACACACCCAGCCCAGAAGCTATTATTGTTTCTACTAGGCCGTTCATGCCATTACTCTTTAGGTGTAGGAATACAGTCGAATAATAGCTTTTAGAGAATTGCAGTGTAAGAGTGTACATTGTATTATGGGTACAGGTCGTATCAAAAAAGTTATCTTACAACGAGACTTATCTGAAGGTACAAGAACTTGAAGAAGCACTGATTCGTACTTCGGGGGGGGGTACTGGTACTGGTACCCTCTATAACAACATAAATTATCGGCACTTCAACTTCAACTCGTTAGTAGAATGATGAAAGAATCTCGAGCATGGCTGTTCCTTAGCTGCAAGAGATCACGGTACATGTACATGTATGTTTCTATAAACAGTGTACACACACACACGTACACAGGCCGATTCGGCTGTGCAAAGCATCTCAACATAATTATAGCTGATGTAATCGCCTAAAACATCTGACAGTGAATGTTACATTTGATTGTACAATCATGTATGTAACCAAGAGTGTACATTCTTGTCTCTTCATGCAACCAGTAGTTGCTGGCCATGTGCCAGGGAGTCCAAACTAGTAGTAAACAATTATTAATTTTTATACGACTCCCTGATGCAAACTCAGACTGGGGGCCAGCAGCTACTGATGTAGCTACAGCAGGGAAGTGGGTATAGGACTACATGACTGTACAAGAGAAGTACAGTACAGTCATGTCAGTGCACTCCCGATCCTGGTCCCTCTACTCCTATGACTCAGCCGCAGTATGAGTATGAACCTGATAAACAGTGCCTTTTTAGTAGAGTACTGTATTGTGTTGATGAATGATGGACACTCCGAGGTGAACTTTAGTTAGTTCTGTAACATGTATCAGCATAATCGGCTAATCAGTGGGTGTAGTGAGTGAGTATCACATTCCATACATTTGGAGATAACCTATCGACAGCACCCGCAACAAGTGTCATATTTCAACTCTGGAGCTAAACATAGCAATTCCGTACTCCAAGCAAACGAACACTTCCGAAGCGGCCTCGGCTCAAAGCTTCCACTGATGCAGTGCAGTGATCTGGTGATGGCCACTGCCCTGTGGGTGTTGAATTTTGGCGGTGTACATATCCGCGCGTCCGACTTGCTTTTCGCTCGTTGGCAGCGGAGGTCGTAGATCTACATGCTTGGTTAGAAAACAAGTAGAGTACAGTAGGCGTTGCTTCTCTGGGAAGGTCTCCTTGAACCTTCGCCATTCACTATCCCGAATACCGGTATTTTATCCTCTCCTAATGTAATAAACGCCGGCCATACATACCACTGAAGGAAGTGGACTGTTGGGTGGGCGCATATTCGTGTCGCTACCTGCATAAAGGAAAGGTGTGAAGTACAACTCTGATGTCTCACTGCTGCCGCTTGCCAGGCTAGTGACAGAGTAGTGTTGGACTCCGCATCAGTGAACATGGCACAGCACTGTGTCAACTCATGGCGGCCACATCTTCGTGGTGAAGTGCGAGGTACCTGGTCCTTGATCTGCTGGCCTGCCATGCATGTGGTGTGTTTTCTCCTTACTCTCTTGTGTTGCCACACAATCACTGCCAATGCAATGCTGTCGTCAGTTGGCAAATCGATCGACAACTCTTTGTCCATGACAGGTAAGATATAAGGTCACAGTAGATTACAGAAAATTTTGTCAGCGACCGTGCTAGCGGCAGTGAAACCCGTGTTTGTCACCCACTGAGCTCCTACTACTACTAGTACTACTAGTACTTCCTAGCACTTAGCAGGGCAGCCAAGTTAGTTGTAGATCTACGACCCCTGCTTCCTACTCCTAGCGACGGTTCATGCATGTAGTCTTTTTGTAGACCTACATCACATCACATGTAGCAAGTCTCTTGCAAGCTTCTTGCCCGCCAAACGTTGTTATCATGGTTCTGCAGTGTGGTGTTCGTTTTATTTCACAATAATTATTATTGCCAAATTAACGCCCAGAGATTCTCAATAGCATGGAAGCGAATGGAGGTGGCATGGGCCGCCTAGGGGGAATCAAAGCAGTCTGCACTATAAAAACGATAAAGATGAACTTAGATTTAGAGTGCCGCAAAATTTACCGGGGCCCCGGCGTATGGCTCAACTGAGCCAACACTAGTTTCACTACGCATAGTCTTCGGAATGCTAATTCAAAATGGTCTTGGTCCGAGGAAGCTTGGAGACGCTCCCTGGCCTCCGCCCCATGCTTCCCAATCGAGTCCACGCACTCCCCCGAAATTAGATCATCGGAGTGCACCCAACTAGAAAGGGATTTGTGCTAGGGCTCAAACGGTTAGTCCGATTAACCGGTTGCAGACCGGTTACGAAGAATTAACGGTTAAAGGGGAAGTTAAGGCAAAAATCAAAATTTCACCAGTTGTAGTCTTCGGGGTGCTGAGTCGAATGGTCTTGGTCCGAGAAAGCTGAGACGCTCCCTTCCTACTTGAATCCCAATCGAACTCGCGCACTTCCACCGAAACTGGGTGACTGCGCCCTACTAGATGGGGATTTGTATGCAAAATGTCACTAAAAGCGCCATTTCGTTCTTATAAAAGCACGGATGACCGCGATTGGCCCATATGTTGTAGTCTTTTGGACGCTGAGTCGACTGGTTTTGGTCCGAAAAGGCTACGATGCAGCGTTCCTCCTATATTTCCAATCGAACATGGTTGAAGAAGCGGTCACGTGCTCCTGGGTGCCAAAATCACCTGGTCACCACGCCAGCAGGCGACAACTTTCACACCAAGGTTCAACTCGAGTGACAGGACTGCACCCAAAAAAGGTCAAAACAGGCTGTAAGTTGTACCCTGCAGGCACGGTGACCAGGTGACTGGTGTACGCAGGAGCACGTGACCGCTTGTTCAACCATGTTCGATTGGGAATTAGGGGCGAACGCTGCATCGCAGCCTTTTCGGACCAAAACCAGTCGACTCAGCGACCAAAAGACTACAACATATGGGCCAATCGCGGTCATCCGTGCTTTTATAAGAACGAAATGGCGCTTTTAGTGACATTTTGCATACAAATCCCCATCTAGTAGGGCGCAGTCACCCAGTTTCGGTGGAAGTGCGCGAGTTCGATTGGGATTCAAGTAGGAAGGGAGCGTCTCAGCTTTCTCGGACCAAGACCATTCGACTCAGCACCCCGAAGACTACAACTGGTGAAATTTTGATTTTTGCCTTAACTTCCCCTTTAACCGATAAAGATAACGGTTACGCAGTAACTTTTCAGTCAATTTTTCAAGTATCAGGTCGTTGCAAAGTATGCACTTTCGCAGGCTGTCGCACACGTACGCAATTTCTAGGCTGTCAACTCGGTCATATCTGGTCTCTTCGTGTGAGAGTATGACTGAATGAGCATGCAAGAGAATATACATGTGTGCGTTGTACTGAATAGGGTACATTTTTTGAATAAGTATAGCCAAATATACGGTTAAAAAAGAGTCCGCAGGATTGCCGTGGCTTATAGGTTATAACCGTTAAACCGACCGTTAGCTTAGCAGTTAACCGTTGGGGGTAAAACCGTGACCGGTTGAGCCCTAATTTGTGCGGAAACCCGTCACTGGTTCTTATGGAAGCACGGTCGACGACGCTGAAACTCTCAGAACCTGTAGTCTGCTGGACCGGGCCGGATCGACTGGCCTTGATCCGAGGAGCCGCGGCTACGATACAGCAGTTGATAGTACTCCCCAGTCACAGTGATCATGTTCACAATCAGGGTGTACTCGCAAATGCATAGTGCACAGTAGTACTGGCACCGTTAGTGACTCTGGCCAGTCTGGGTGTACACATCACTGCAGCCTCCGGGACAGCGTTCGATTGGAAAAAGGGCCGGACGCTGTATTCCTGAGCCTACGGCGATGGACTGGAATCATGTGATCATGAAGATTTATGATCCTGTTGTTGTCTTATTTAAATTTGCAAAACCAAACAGACAAAAGTGTCCAGTTGCAAGGGAGCGCTCGAATGATGAGCGTCTGATCACTATGCAACAAAACATCTTGGGGCAAAATGAGACAGACTAGAAGGAGGGTTTGTACAACACTAGTAAGAGAGAGAGAGAGAGAGGGAGAGGGAGAGGGAGAGAGAGAGGGAGAGGGAGAGGGAGAGGGAGAGAGAGAGAAAGAGAGAGAGAGAGGCAGCGAGAAAGAGCGAGACTGAGAGACAGCACTCACGCCTGGGAACCGTTGGAAAAGGCTCTTATTCTAGCCCCTGTCTCTGCCACTCTCAGCGGCCACGGCAGACTCGGACTGGTGAAGAAAGAAAATATGTTCGCGCCAACTACAATGACAGGGGAGTTGAATTGATCATACATGCACGGACTGAAGCCTGGAGCGGCCATAAATGCATAATAATATTAATACCATCCGTCCGCAGATTGACTCGGTAAATCATCATTCAATGCCTGATTCATTACACCGTATAACTATTACAGTGCTGCCAAACCGTCCGATTTTTCGGACAGTGTCCGATTTTTGAAGGCTCTTCCGAAAACCGGTCCGAAAAGGGAAACGTCCGAAAAGCAGCCAAAATGTCGGAGATCATTACTTCCCTATGCAGAAGTCCAGAAGTTCAGCGCAACCAAGAGTCCATAACCCCCCAGAGTGTGCAACTCCAGGTTGGGGTCTGGCGCAACGAAATCCAAACATTGCGTCATCCGGTCCATAGTCAAGCATGGGCGGATGGGGCCATGTGCATATCTGGTACATCCGCTACTCACTACATGACGTATGAAGTTTGGATTTCGTTGCGGCTCTGATTTGTGCTGAGAAGGATCACGAGTTGCACACTCTGGGGGGTTATGGACTCTTGGCGCAACTGAAGGCACAAATCACTGTACATTTGCTTCTAAAAAGGCTAGCGCTTGGCTGTGGAAGTGCAAAGTAACATGCCTAGATCAGGCTGGATGGCATGTACACTGACAGTCTGTACAGAGTCAGTGTGCGACCACACTCATCATTACAAAATTCATGACAGCTCTGGGGTTACCATGGCAACGAAGCGAATTTTCATGGTGTTTTAGGCGATAACTGTGGGTTGCAGCACGGCTGGAAAAAATCCTTCCGCTTCCAAGCAGGACTTGAACCTGGTACCCTCTGTTTCTCAATCATGGTCTTAGACCATCCCACTATGCCTGCCTCGTGCCTGGCACGAGGGAAACATGGATGCAGTGAATGGGATTTCGGTCTTTGACCACTTTGTGGTGGGTCTGATCTACTCACCTCCCACCGCTTTTAGGGAGCTGCATCTGCGCCTTGATCCAAGAGGGTGGTGGCGTTCCTGCGGATGCGGAAAACTGGGCCTTTGGCCGAGTCTCATGCGAACCGTGATTTTTTTTTTTAGGCGATATTTTGAATTCTCTGTAAACAATTTATTTGCCGAGGAGAAAAATTCGCACCATGTGGCCAGCCTTAAAGAGGAAGTTAAGGCAAAAATTAAAATTTCACCAGTTGTAGTCTTCGGGGTGCTGAGTCGAATGGTCGTGGTCCGAGGAAGCTGAGACGCTCCCTTCCTACTTGAATCCCAATCGAACTCGCGCACTTCCACCGAAACTGGGTGACTGCGCCCTACTAGATGGGGATTTGTATGCAAAATGTCACTAAAAGCGCCATTTCGTTCTTATGAAAGCACGGATGACCGCGATTGGCCCATATGTTGTAGTCTTTTGGACGCTGAGTCGACTGGTTTTGGTCCGAAAAGGCTGCGATGCAGCGTTCCTCCTTTATTCCCAATCGAACATGGTTGAACGAGCGGTCACGTGCTCCTGCGTACGCCAGTCACCTGGTCACCGTGCTTGCAGGGTACAACTTACTAGCCTGTTTGACCTTTTTTGGGTGCAGTCCTGTCACTGGAGTTGAACCTTGGTGTGAAAGTTGTCGCCTGCTGGCGTGGTGACCAGGTGATTTGGGCACCCAGGAGCACGTGACCGCTTGTTCAACCATGTTCGATTGGGAATAAAGGAGGACCGCTGCATCGCAGCCTTTTCGGACCAAAACCAGTCGACTCAGCGGCCAAAAGACTACAACATATGGGCCAATCGCGGTCATCCGTGCTTTTATAAGAACGAAATGGCGCTTTTAGTGACATTTTGCATACAAATCCCCATCTAGTAGGGCGCAGTCACCCAGTTTCGGTGGAAGTGCGCGAGTTCGATTGGGATTCAAGTAGGAAGGGAGCGTCTCAGCTTTCTCGGACCAAGACCATTCGACTCAGCACCCCGAAGACTACAACTGGTGAACTTTTAATTTTTGCCTTAACTTCCCCTTTAAGGCCTTGGCGGTGAAGGGTGTCCGATTTTGGGCGAAAATTATTTGGCAGCTGCCAGCACTGCTATTACTACACTTGAACTGAACCCCGTCGACGCGTCCCGACTCAGTAGACTGGTGACTGACTGCACTGCACTGGGCCACTGCCGCTGGCACGCATTAGAGAGGTTCCGGGGTACGATTTTCCGTGCCAAAATCCGTGTGGGCGCTACGGATTTTTTCCAGGTGTGCTCCATACGATTTTTCGGCACGGAGAATCCGTGTGGACTGGCTTTCACACAAACCATGTTTCGTATGGAGATTTTGCGTCATCGGGTGCAGAAAGATTTTTCGCGTACAAATTTGGTACGAGAAACATGG